TTTTTCTCTCTCACTCTTATGGCGCCTGCCTGCGCAGGCAGGCAGGCGGTGAGGTGAGAGTGTACCTTAATACCACTTCGTGGCGCATGCCTTCGAGCGTCGGGCGAGTTATTGGATCCAAGGCCTCAATTTTAATGATTTCAGGGCTCGAACCACACGGAAAAACCTTTAAGCAGTCTGCTCACCCAAAACTTATGCGTCAGCGCCACCACTAAACTTGTTCATCTGCACTCCCAAACTGGGTGACCAACGTACCCAGTTGTAATTTTCTAAACTTTTTGGGAAGTTTGTCTATCCCCAGTAAGAAACAAAAAATTGAAAAGTATTAAAAAGATTCTATTCTTTTGAATGCCATTTCTGTCCAATACTTTTCTATCCAGTGAGAGCAATATGAAAAGTAACGATATCAATCCTCTTGAATACCCAGTAAGAAAGCAAAGATTAAGAAGCGTTAAAAAAATTCTATCCTTTTGAATACCATTTTTGTCCTATGCTTCTGAATTCCGCGACAGTAGTATAATAATATAATACTAATATTGTTGACATATAGAATGTTCAATTACTTTCAAATATCTGCACTCATGAATTTATTTGCTATTTTAAAAAGGAATAATTATTAAATTATCAGTTAAGAGGGTTAAAAGTGTTTAAAGGTCTCTGAAATTTTTAGGTTATGATTTAAGAATAACGGCCCTGACTCGTTTAAATGACGTTAAATTGGTAAACAATCAATTTTTCAGCAAGTTTTTCTTTGAACACAAACACTTTTTACAAAATCTGCCACTGTATGTATCTTATAAATTACAAAAATCCAGATGATTGCTTGAATGCATGCAGAAACGCGGTTCCAATGAAAAATTGAAAAGTGATGTAATGACAGCAGGAAGGAAGAGTAAGGAGACCGAACTCTGCTTCTACAAATGTCTGAGAAATATGCACGAAAAGTGCCAGACTCACTGTGTTCTAGTTGATCGCCAATTAAGTCGATCATGCGCATTGAACTAAAGTTCAGTGTTGACATAGATGAAAAGTGTGGTTATGTCAAGGTAAATATAACATAGTTTAAACAGTGTTAATTTTAAAAGCAAATTTATTTATTTGCAATTGTGATATTATTTAGATTTTCAAAATAATTTAATAATATATTTATGAAAAGGGAAAAATTTTGCGAAAATGGTTAAGAAGAATTGTGTTTATAACTAGAGTATATTTACATACCGTAGAAGGATAGAAGAGACTAATGTTTTTAGACTCTTTTTGTTCTTTCTTTACATCCGGGCACACAACACGACATTTTTTAAATAAAATAAATACATAATTATTAAAACGAAATGTATTGTATATGTATCTCACTAAGACCGGCTAAATGTAAACATTAGATCTTACATCTCACTCGCACAATTTTTACGAGAAACAGAGACACAACACAGCTTATGCGCATGATCGACTTAATTGGCGATCAACTAGAACACAGTGAGCCTGGCACTTTTCGTGCATATTTCTCTGAGATTTTTAAAGCGCTTTCTACACAGAGTTCGGTCTCCTTACTCTTCCTTCCTGAATGACAGGCTGTAATAATTTCGGATGGGATTGGAAAGCATTCAGAAAAAAATTGTGTCTTTGTTAACAATTACAAACAGAATTGAATAGCATTCATTTTTAGACGAAACGTGGTCCTATCATGGTATAGAAAAGTATTGGACAGAAATGGCATTCAAAAGTATTGGATAATTTCTACTACACCATACAGAGTTTGAATTATTTCAATTCTTTTCAATTCCTCGCTTCTAAGAAGGAGTTTACACCGTAAGCCTTAAATATAAGCCTCCGCGAGCATAAACGGATATGCCTCCATGAGGATATACTTGCGTCTGCGCAAAGTGTTTGCCTGCAGCTGTGTTGTGAAAAAGTTTGCCTTGACCACGTGTTCGCGCAGGCGCAAATATATGCTCATGGAGGCATATCCGTTTATGCTCGCGGAGGCTTATATTTAAGGCTTACGGTGTAAACTCCTTCTTACTGGGTCGAAAACGGTAATGCTACGCACCCAGTGGCGGGCGATCAGACTTTCCATGCAGTGAGAAGCGAAATTTTGTCACAGTGGGAAGGCAGACTTCTCAAAGGTTTTTCCGTGCAGTGAAAGTATTTAAAAATACGGACTTTACGGACCAGTTACTGACAAAAATATAATCAGTCCGAGTCAAATAAGCACAGGAAAAAAAAAGTCTGACTCCGTTTACACCTTAAATTCAGCCCATGTATTTCACATAAGTCTGTCCTTGTTTAACGGGACTGACTCCGTTTACACCTTAAATTCAGCCTCAAAAATAGGCTGAAAGTAAAACTTTTTTTTTAGTGTGAGAGAATAACATTTTACTTAAAACTATAAATTAAATTTTTTCATAAATATAAAACATGAAGAAATCGATTGATTTCTTCATGTTTTATAAAATGGCCCAGTGATAAAATCATTAAGAATATTGTACCTACTTCTTCAAAATTATTTTTATAATTTCAATCAAATTATTATTTTCAAGAATTTTTAACTAAAATTCTTTTTTCAATCAATTATTTTTAATAATTTTCGAAAAAGTTCTTTGGCAATTTTCAAATTCATTTGTTTACAATATTCAATTTTACGAAATTTCAATTATTCGTAAATTCTTCAATTAAATATATATTCGACAATAAAAACTTTAAATAATTTCAAAAAAAATCTGCAATTAAACTTTTTCAAAAGAAATAATTATTTTTATTAGAAAATAAATAAGTTATACATATAAGTTTATTTGTTTTAAATCAGAGATTCATACAAAGAAAAATAAATAAGTTTATTGAATAATTGAATGTTTCTTAAAGCATAAATTATTTTATCAATAAATTTGTAAATAACTCAATTCTTTTGACAAATTGTAATCAAATTTTTAAGAATAATTACAATTTTTGAGAAATTCTATTAAAATTGAATTTAAAATAATTGAAATTCTGTGATGAGTTTTATTATTTATGAAAATAATGAAAATTATTGAGAAGAAATTTATAAAAAATTTGTAAATAATTGAAATATTTTGTGAAATTTTAATTATTTTATGAATAAATTTAAATGTTTGCGCAGAATTTCATTAAAATTTTTTTAAATGATTGAATTCTTTTGGAAAATTTTTCTAAAATAGTAGATATTGAAAATCATTTAATTAAAAAAAAAATTTGAAAATAATTTTGAAATTTTTTCCTAGAATGTTATAAAATTGTTTAAAAATAATTGAATTGATTCGAAGAATTTTCATAAAAAAATTTTAAAATAATTGAAAATTGAATTCTCAAAAATTATTTTATCAAAAAATTTTTAAATAATTAAATTCTTTTGACGATTTTTTATAAAATTTTCAAGAATAATTACATTTTTCGAGGAAAATTTTATTAAAATATTAAAAATAAATGAATTTGTGCGATGAGTACTTTTAGAAAATAATTAAGTTCCTAAAAAGAATTATATTACTGTAAAAAATTGTATTATTTATAAAAATAATTGAATTTCTGCAATAATTTGTAATTTTACCAAAATTAAATTTTTTTTAGTGTTTCTTTAACTAAAATTCTTCTTTAAATCCATTATTTACAATAATTTATGAAAAAGTTCTTTGAAAATTTTCAAATTCATTTGTTTACAATACAATTTTACAAAATTTTAATTATTCGGATATTTTTCGCAATTAATAAAAATAAAAACTTCAAAAAATTAATTTCAAGTACAATTCGAATAAATTTTTTCAAAAAAATTAATTCTTCTACAGAATTGATAGTTTCAAAGATTTTAATATGAAACCTTTTCAAAATTCAGTTATTTCTAAAAATTCACGCTATAATGCTTTTAATATTCAATTATAATCTTTAATTTTAAATGAAATTCATTTTTAAATCAACTTTTATTAGTAAATTCTGCGAGAATTCAATTATTTAAATACAAAAATAAATAATTTATTAAGTAATTGAATGTTTCTCAAAATTGAATTCTCATATGAAGAACTTTATCAACAAAATTTTAAATAATTCAATTCTTTCGACTAATTTTAATAAAATTTTCAAGAATAATTACATTTTTCGAGGAAAATTTTATTAAAATAATTAAATTTTAGAAAATAATTGAAAATTTGCAAAAATTATTGAATTTCGAAGAATTTTAATATTTCTAAAGGTAATTGAAATTTTGACGAGAATTTAAAAAAAATTTGTATTGAATTTCTGCAATCACTTGTAATTTCTCTAAAATTCTCCAAATCATATCGTAGGGGTCATTCACATATTACGTGATAGATATTTTAAGTATTTTAGACCCCCCCCCCCCCTACGTGATACTTTTTCTATAGTTTAGTATAGAAAATTTGTTAAAGCGTGATACTTTGCTTACCCCCCTCCCACCCCTAAGTGTATTACGTAATATGTGAATGGCCCCGTAGGTACAATTTACGAACTTTTCGTCCTTTTCTATTAAATTACGGACTTTACGAAACTTTTTCAAAAAAAGTGACTTTTACAGATTGCAAGCAAATTTACGGACCTTTACGGGATATACGGACCTAGTTCGAGCCCTGTGATTTTCAGTGGAATTTCACTAAATCAGATTTAGAGAATATATTTTTAAATTTAGAACATTTTTTCGAGTTTTTTTTAGGGAGAAATACTGCTTTTTTAAAAAATGCTGCCAAGAAAAATAATACATCTTTTCCATCTTAAAATAAAACGTACTTTTTATCGTACTTAAAATAAGTGCGATAAGAAAGAAATTATACATCCAGAGTAAATTTCGTTGTGCTTGCAAAATAAGTTGAGAGAAATATAAACATATAATGGCATAGACTCCTCAACTAAAATCTGCAATTCATTCTTGTTTTCAATAAAACATTCCTCTTTTAGAATATGCTAAAAACTGTTTCGCGTATAATAAACGGTTTATATTGCTCTCGAACAAGAAGAAGAATGATTCGCTTTTATAGTTGTACCTTCTCATTTGTGTTTCAGACTCTGCTGCGCTCGTTGCTCGTTGCTCCTTGTCTCATCTTTATATGTATAAGACGTCTCTCTGTGGTATATTATACGCATTTTGTGAGGGAAGGGCTCTCCTCGCATCATTGGCTTACATCCTCATACACCTTCCTCGCGAAGAACGAACAAGTCAAGAAGTGCTGACTCGCAATAGTCTTCGAACCTTTATAACATCGGGCACGTGAAACACAGTGTGTAACATAATGATAACACGCTCGAATAATAAGAGGAGACAGGCTTGGCTACGCTCGCATGGGTCCGGGTTTGGGGTCCGACCAACATAGTCCACACGTTCTGGCTGCTGCTTCAATTATTGAGGGCCCCCAAGTCGTCGGTGCATTGTTGTTTTTATTCCGAGGCAGTACCATACTCTTCGTTTTCAAACTTGAAAAACTATTCCCGTTTACTTCCTCTTCTCTCTTTAAACAATAAACATCGAAAAATTTCTTCACACCGTAACGCGCGCGCGCAATTTAGAAAGCGTTTCGTTTCAAATTTTTCGGCTAATACTTGCCGCTCACGATGGCGCCACTTTGAATCGAGTTGGGATTTTTCAAATTGCCCTTCGACTGCCTTCGACGTCGAGGGTCAGTTGTTGAGCGTTCCTTTTCGAGTGAAAATCGAAAGGACGGAACTCTGTGATTCGGTTCATTCAAAATTCAAAGACTCTGACTTACTTTCAAAAATGTGACAGTAGTGTGTTTTGTGCTCAAATATATTTTCAAAAACGTTAAAAAAGGAAATAGAAAGAAATTAACTAAAACATTTTTTAAAGGCTGTTTTTCGTCAAAATAAATCGACTCGAAATGACGAAAATTCGTTTACAAAATTGAAAGAAAGAAGTGTAGTTTTTTACCATTAAAATAAAGGAAAATATGAATTCGTGCAAATTGAATTATTAATAAACAAAAAATTAAATTAGATAAATAAATAAAAAGTGTGAACAAAAAGTGCAAAGTATTTTAAAGGAAAATAGTGAGTTCTTTTCATTACTAAATTATTTATAGTTAAAGAAAACAAAACAAAAAGAGGATTTTTTTTTAATAAAGAATTATCAATATAAACAATTGCATTCTTTACTAAATAAACATTTGTGTAAATAAAAAGAAGTGCAAATTGTTTCAAAAAAAGAACAGTGACAGGAAAAAATGATTCATTTTTAAATTATTTACAATAAATAAATAAATGAATATACAAATAAATATAAATAATATAATATAAAATTCAAAATTTTGCTGAATAAAAAGTACAAAGTATTAAATTGTTAATAAACAATAATTACACCCATTTAATAAAATTTTGTGTATAAATAAGTGCAAATTGCTTCAAAACAGAATAGCAAGAGAAGAAAATATTTCTTCTTTTTTAAATAAATACAAATAATACAATAAAAAATTTGACTTTCTGCTAAATGAAAAATCACAAATTATTAATTATTAAACTATTAATGATCAACAATTTATTTGTTGATTCAAACAACAATCAACCAAAATTAGAGTGTATTAACTAAAAGTGTATAAACAATTAAAGTAAAAATTATTTCAAAATAAAATAGCAAAAAGAAAAATAATTTTCTATTTCTAAATTATTTACAATAAACAAATATTACAGGAATTAAGAAAATGTTGAAGTGAACTACTACTCTGAGCGAATCTTGTAATTTAAATAATATAATTAATATTTATTATAAATAAATATATAAATAGAAAAATTAAATTATTAATAAGAATATTAATAATTAATTAATATCAATTATAAATTATACGCTCAATTGACAAAAAGCAAGTTGAAAAAAATAATTTTTGTGATGTGAGAAGAAAAAATGATTTTTCATTTCTAAATTACAATTAAAAATTAAAAAATTAAAAAAAAAGAAAAGAAAAATGATAAACACGGGAAATTGGATAGTCGTGGCATTAATTTCGGCGAATATTTTGTGCTTAAATGGCGAGCAAAGATTTGTCGAAACCCCAGCATCGTATCAGGAGGTTTCAACCGGTGAAGATGTACAACTTAGGTGTAAAGTACAGGACAAAAGGGGTCAATGCATCTGGCAAAAAGACCGTAAACCCGTTGGCATGCATCCTGATAAATACGAATGGGTCGGAGGAAGGGACAGTGATTGCAGTTTGCTGATAAGAAGAGCATCTTTGGATTTTGATGACGGATTCTGGGAATGCCAGGTCACTCCTGGCGATTTTACTCGTCAGGATGCACTCACATCTCTTCCCGCTCGACTTCTCGTTAGAGGTTTGTGTTTATCAACATTTTATTTTTTCATTTATCATTTATTTTATAATTTCCGACCTATAAAAATGCATGTTCCTAAAATTCTGAAAAGAAGTAATAATAAAAATGACACTTTTATATACTTCTTCTCAAAACTTTAGGAACATGAATTTTTTTTATTATTTCTTTGAATTTGTATTGTATTAAAAAAATTATTTGTTGGTGTAAAAAAACTTAATTGTTAATTATTTAAAAATAAAAAGTAAATTCCGTTCATTTAAACGTTCAATTATAACTTCTGGGCCAATAAGCCGAATTTTCAATAAATATTGTACATTATATAAATATTATGAATAAATAAATAAAATAAAATATTAAGCAATAAAAAACAATAAACAATGTAATAATAATAAAGAAGATAATAATAATTCTTGTTTATCAGAATTTATGGTGAAAACTACTTAAAAAATTCTCAAACATATTATGATTTTATATTATATTTATCATTGTTATTGTTATTTATGAATAAATATTTCTTACGAATTAATTAGTGAATATTATTGGAATTTTTTATAAATAAATCGGGGGACGTTTAGAAAATGTGATTTTGGTAATAAAAAAAATGACTGCTACTGCTTAATAGTACTACAATTAATATACACTATCAATATTGATATTATTTATAGTATATCACTTAAAGTAAATAGATGGAGTTTTTATTTCACTATATAATATATGAAAAGATCTATTTTTCAAGTCATAAGTGATCGCGGAGATCATGTTCCTTTGACTTTAAGTACAGCTGTTCTGCTTCCACTCGAATTGACAGCAGACATCGTGAGAACCATCTGTTATAATATAATATGCAACAAAATGTTATTTTTTCAATGTTATCATAATCTTAAATTCCAATTAGTCCTCTTTAAATTTTAATACGAAAATAAAAGAGTTGATAATTTCTATTTTTACCAATAATACAGTTCTTTGTCAAATTGCTTCTCTTTTTTTCTTGTATTTTTATTTTTATACTTATAAGTATTATATCATTTAGTTCTCATGCACGAAAAGGGCATTTTTAATTTTGTCACCCCTTACATGGTAGAAATAAATTAATAAATACAATAATTGAAAATACTAAAAAATAAAAAATATATAGATACTAAAAAGACGAAAATCACTAAAAAGAAGACGATAAATAATAATAGAAAATGGTAATAGTTAATGATAATAAAAAATAATGATAATAGAAAATAATGTTAATAGAAAATATAATGATAATTGAGAATCGAGAAGAAAATAAAAAAGACAATGACAAAAGAATAAAATTGAAAGGATTGTTTTTACCAATTTGTTTATTTGAACATTGGAAACGTCAGGGTTATAAATTTTGGAAAGCAACATGCATGTATATCTGAATAATCTGATTTAAAACCTGGAGGTTGATGGATTTAGGCTCTTGCGTAAAATCCACACAGAATTAAATAAGTAGGTAAATGAGATTCAGAGAAGCTAAGATCTTGAATTGTACAGATTGTTACAACAAGATTGAATAATTGAAGAAACTCTTCTTTTGTTGTATTATATACTTCTTTATTGTGTAGACACACATACAGAGAAACTGAGATTTAAATTCGAAAAAGCATATATCTTCTTACCTATAAATATTTATATTTGCATAATTAATTCCATAATTTAATAAACTAAATATTTTCAGTTCACTCAATAAAAAAGAATATAAAAATAAAAAAAAATAATACAAAAATAATATACGCAGTTTTTCTAAGGATATAAAATTGAGACAAGAAACGAATCAAAACGTTGCTTCGCAACATTTTTGATTTATTTTTTGTCTCAATTTAATATCCTTCAAAAGATTGTGCATAAAAATAAAAAAATAAACGCAATATATAATATAAAAATAATTATATGGATTAATAACAAAACGGAAATACGGATTAATAAAGAATTATCAAGAAAGAAAAAAGCATTTTTAACACTATTAGAACAATTACATATATTATAATCGTTCGAGATTAGGGCAATAAAAGTATTATTTAATATACATTAAGGAAATTGTGGATTCACAGATGTTTTTTCTTTTGTTTTGAAGAAAAAAAAGCCTTAATGATCACTATTATGAATCATACTAATCATTCATCAAAAAGTTTTGTGTAAAAAATAACAATTCGTCATCCATTATATTATATCGAGTCACTGTGACGATAATCACTTAACATTAAACTGCACTTTAAAAAAAGAACCGTAAGGTAACAACTTAACTTTCGTAAACTCATTTTCAATTCATTGAAACGGAAGAGCGAAAATGTTCCGTTCCACTTTCGGAAAATTACAACATTAGATTTGTTGAAGAGGAGTAACAAATTCAAAAATCATCGAATCACTATGATGTAAAATCAATTTGCGCAATAAAAAACACGTGTTGAAAGAAATTCCTGTTGTCGATGTGCATAATATAAATATTACAAGTTTAATGTTCGACAAGACGTGCCTATTGTGAAAAAAATTTATTTTGTAATAATAATAATAATAATAATAATAAATTTTTGAAAACTTTTTAACTTGATGCCTTTAATAAAAATGGATAATTTCAGTTACAATTATTAAAAAAATTTAATTTTTGTATTTAAATAATTGCAGGTTTCACACTCAATAATAAAATTAATTTTAAAAATTATCAAAATGTAGCTTTAATACTGAAAAAAGTAGTAAAAAAGTAGCTATCAAAAATTAATTTTAACGAATAAAAAAATTGTTTTAGTTGATTCACAAAAATTTGATTCAGTATTTCCCTGACTGTTTCCTCTGATTTAAATCAAAAATATTTATTTTTATTCTAATCCTAAGAATTATATTTAATTCTTTCTAATAATTTATTGAATTTTCGTGAAAAATGTTATATTGCTTGTAAAAATAATTGAATTCTTGGGGTAGAATTTTATAAAAAGTTTTTAAATTAATCTTCTTTGAAAAATTTTATGAAATATTTTTAATAATTCAATTCCTGTACAAATGTTATTACTTATAAAAAAAATTGAATGTTTGCGAAGAATTTTATTAAAAATCTTGTGTGGAATTTCATTAAGATTGTATAGATATTGAAAATTATTGATTTTCGAAGAGTTTTTTAGAATAATTGAATCGCTTTAAAGAATTTTATTACAATTTTTAGAATTTTTTTTTTATTTCAACTATTAGCGAATTTGAAGTGATGCAAATTTCTCCTAAAAATAATGAAAAAAGTAGCTTTTAGTCTAAAAAAAAGTATCCAAATATAGAAAATTGCAAAAAATTAGTGTTAATAGTGGGTTTTAGTAGATAAGTGCAAAGCCTGTAATTGAATTCTCGAAGAACTTTCGGAAAATGATGATAAATAATTGATTTAGAGAGAAGTTTATTAGTTAAAAATTGCAGAAAATAATTGAATTTTGGAAAGGTTATAGTTGTGAATGAGTGATAGTTAAATTTTAAATTTTACTATTAAAATAAAAGTACCTATTTAACTTTACAAAAGATTTTTTTAAAGAAAAAAGAAATTTACCCACTTGAATGAAAATAGGGCAAACTTAAAGATTTATCGAGATAAATTAGAGCAGTGTTGGTATTTAATGAAATTTGGATTAATAGCATTCAAATGAATTCGTGAATTTATACAAATTTGTTAATTACATGATTTTTTATGCAGTGGCTCCCCGGAAACCACGTTTGGAGTACGGTGGGTCAATTTTGAGCACTGCCCTAACTTTGAGGGAAGGCCAGGAAGCAACGATTTCCTGCGTTTCCAGATACGGAAATCCGCCAGCCCTCATCAAGTGGTAAGTAGTGTGTATTGTAATTTTTTTTCCATATTCACCTGTGAGTGTGTGTGGCATTTTGATACATAAAAAGGTAGTAAATTTTCATTTACAAATTTTTTTTTATTTTAATCACTGATCTTTTAGCTTCCCCTCAGAGAGAGAGGAGCGAGAACCTACACAGTATAACAGTATAATACGGCTACTTTATGGGCATATCAATTTTCATTCACGATGAATTATTACAGTATCCGTTACTACTTTACTATTCAATATTCAAAAAAGGGAATAAAATATATTTTAAAGAATTATGATCATTGCCTATTATGTTTTTCAATTTGTATATTTATATTAATCTATTTATCTCTTTTAATAATTTTATTTTATTTCATAATCTTTATTTCAAAATTCAATATTTATTATTTTTTTATTTTATTAAATTATTAAATTTATGTATTCAAATTATTGTTTATTTATTTTACGTATAATAGAGAATTTTCGTTTTTATTTTTTAATACTTAAAATTATTTATGCTACCACCGCGTAAAAAAAGTAAAATTTACTGCGAAGACTGAACTATTTAATGATAATAATTTACGGCTCAATTTGCGGTAAATTTACGCAAAATTTTATTTGATTAAGAATATTTTTTTCTTCTCTTTATTGGCATATGTTATTTTTTTATTTTAAAAAAATATTGTAAGTGATTTATAAATGAACAATATTTTTTTTCCTTATTTCCCATGCACTGCAATCTGTAACATTATTATTTTTCTTACCTAGAAAGTCCCGCTTTATATTAAAATATAACGTGACGCGGAAGTGATCGAAATTCTTTTCCTGTTAACCACCACAATTTAAATATCATGCTCGATTTAATTAGACGTTCATGACGTTTGAATTTCATTCAAATAATATTACTTATTTTCATATGAATAAATTATTCAAATTTACATTGCAAGTTTCCATTTGTAATGGAAAACAACAATTGAATTCTCGATTCAAAAGCGGGGGGATTTTTAATTAATTTCCATTTTTTATTCTAAAATTTTTTGTTAAAAATATCTTTAAATTTGAGTTAGTGAAAATGTTTACTAATTTCAATTATAGAGACCGACTTTTTGCTAAATTTTATTAATAAATAAATTTTGTTAATAAAAGTAAGTAAATTTTATTAATAAATAGTAATTTTTTACTAATTCAAAAACGAAATGATTTTTCACCATAAATAAAATAGAAATATTATAGAAAAATAAATGAATAAAATATAAAAAAAGGTAAAATATATAAATAGAACATTTTGGAAACTTAATATGAATTATTTTTTTAAATGACACAATATTATTGTAATAAAATTTGAATTTGAGAAGAATTTGAATAATTTTGGTCTTTATTTGACAGTTTAGAACATAAGGAACATTAATTAATAGTTTCTGTCCAGAAAAAAGTTCATCCAAATTTATGACAATTTATTTTCTAATAAATTCATTTCTATTTCAAAACTGAATTTAAATTCTCTTGAATATTGGTACTTATCGGATTGAGATATACGGAGTGTAACTGATTATAAATGAAATTTTGATTCAAATGGAAATTCAGGGTCCATTAGAATTTCATATTAGTCTGTAAATAAACCCTCCGAGAAAATAAATCAAAAATAAATCATAGAAATGGAAAACAAGTCGAAAAGACAAATCTCTGTGGTTTTTTTCTGTTGCAATAAGTATATTAAAAACCGTTAAAACGATGACAAATAATAAGTATATATTTCAATTGTGGTGCGCCTTATTTTCAGGGTCCTCTTCTAAACTGCCGTATGTAATAATTTAAAAAAAACCGCAAATTTATTATATACATTTCTCCGCATGGTATTTATCAGCGACTACATTATATATTATTTTTTCGGAGTTTTCGTTTCATAAAAAGAATCTTTATAATTTTCTTACAATTGCGAGGACTGTTTCATTTCCCGTATAAGCATATATAGATATAAGAAGAAGAGCAAGTTCCGGAACGTCGTTTTTGTACAGGAAAGGGTTGTCCATGTCTTACTTCATGGTCTAGTGATTTAAGCCGCGCCTTATCTAAACTTCTCTAATAGTGGGTGCGTACCCTCAAGAGTTTTTTTCTGCTCCACATTCTCCCATCCTTCCTTCACTCTTCCAATAATGCTCAGTGGGGTTCTGTATAGTCAGATTTAGAACTTGAAAAGATTGCATTTTTTCTTTTACGAGCTTTGCTTTCGGTGCATTCCTTTATACTAAATTATTCAACATTACTATATAATAAATACAAAAAATAATAATAAAAAGCTAAAAATAAAAAAAGGAAAAAAATATTATACTTTGAAAGTGAAATGTCCTCTGAAGAAAAATATTTTTCTAAGAATGTGTCATTTATTAAATTAATTGTATTTTAGATAGAGATTCTGCTCTGTAGAAAAATATTTTTCTTTATTTTTTAAATTTGAACAGATGAACAAATAGTTTTAGTTTTTTAAACTTCTTTTTTAGTTTTCTTTAATAAAGACCTATTATGCCCCCACAGCACCGAAACTTTCCTAAAAATTTATTAAATATTTACTTGCAATATTCGGCATATTCAACTGAAAAGTTTAGTGAAAATTGTGTAAAGATTTAAATGTCTCGATTAAATAAATGTTTAGTAAAAATATCATTTAAATGTTCAGGAAATTTTCACACTAAACATTTATTTAATCGAGACATTTAAATCTTTACACAATTTTCACTAAACTTTTCAGTTGAATATGCCGAATATTGCAAGTAAATATTTAATAAATTTTTAGGAAAATTTCGGTGCTGTGGGGGTGTTAAGAAAATATCGGTGCCTTTAGTTCACAAAATCTTATTTTTTTATTTCAATTATTGACAAAATAATAATAAATTTGAATAAATTGTTTGAATTTGAATAATTTTTGCTTCCTAATAGAGGAAAGTATTGTAATACCAAAATTTTTCGAGTTCGATTTTTTGACATATCTTTATGTTATTTGACCTCAAGAGTTCAAAAATCACATTTTTAAAAAATGCACGGAGAGAAGAGTTGCAGTAAATGTGACAGAACGCGTTTAGTAAATCATTTAGGGCACCGGTTAGTGGCGCCAACTGTATGTTTAGTAATGGTTTAGTATAATACACTACGACACCTCTCTGTCTAGTAGAATATACTGTTTGCTCAGTGTATCTTACTATCTTACTAAACAGTGCAGTAGATGGCACTGTCCGTACCGTCAGTCCAAACCTAACGATTCTGTTTAGTATATTTAACTGCCATGTCAGTAGAATCTACTACGCCCTTCTCTCCGTGTGTCATTCCGTATGTGTGTGATTCAAAATTCAGGGATGAATTTTTTTTTAAATTGTTGGTCTCACATGCGGACATAAAATGAGAGTACTTTGTGTTACGATACATTCAAAGTATCGTTTTTTTATTATTGAATTAAAAGTTATACTTTGAAAAATCGGATCTCTATTTGATTATGTGCCATATATAATAATTAATTGTTATTTAAAATTTAAATAGATTATTAAATTCAATAAACTTATTTGTAAAAGCCGCGTAGTGTCGCAAACAGGTCAATAACTAGAGTTGTGCAAAAAGCTCGAAGCTCGAGGCTCGATCGAGCTTTTTCGAGCTTTTCATTTTTCGAGCCGAGCCGAGCCGATCTGTGTAAAAAGCTCGAATAGTTTCGAGTACTCGAATTTTTCGAGCACTCGAGGGAATTCGAGTACTCGAATTTTTTCGAGCTCTGAGTAAATTCGAGTTCTAGAGAAAATTCATAGAATTTTCGCATTTATTATATTTAGCAAATAGAAATATTGATTTAGTAATTCAAATAAATTCGAAATTTTTTACTTATTAATAGTTTTTTTAGTAAGTCGAAAGCTCGAATCCATTCGAGTACTCGAATTTTTCGAATACTCGAATTTACTCGAGTGCTCGAATTTAATCGAGTACTCGAATTTTTCTAGTACTCGAAGTCACTCGAGTACTCGATACATCGAGCCGGCTTGGGCTCGGCTCGGCTCGAAAAAATTTCGGCTCGGCTCGGCTCGACTTTTAGAGCTTTTTGCACATCTCTATCAATAACATAAGGATTGCTTCGAGTTCATAACAGTCTTTTTGCATAATTAAGAAATTCCAAATTCTTTCATATTCTATTCCTTATTTAAAATAATTGACAAGCACAAAATACAAGAATGATTTCACCACTTTTATGCATTAACTCGAAAATTTAAGTGTCAAAGACTCTTTTGGTTCAATGACCAGATTGTAGTTTGTTGACAAAACAGAAACGCAGGCGTTTCTGAAAAGGTCCTTAACCTCACAGACCTTATTGCCATCACATGATGCAAAATCAAAAATGAGTTAAGCCGCATTTTTGCACAATAAGAAAAAGTGCAATGAAATCATAATTATTCAGTTTCATCAGAACATATTTCCTAATACTTAACCCTTCCCAATAATTTGTCACACCCAAGCCTCAATTTCATGCAATAAAACTGGTGTGCTTACGATGTAATTCGATTCTTCGCGACAGTTAACTTCTGGAGACAGGTTATCGCGAGGTTGACCGTCTGCGAAACTCGACCGGTTCAAGGGTTCGCCACGGGCAATCGAATTCGGGTAGACGTTAAACTCAAAAATCGCGAAGTGTTTGGAATAGATAAGACTGAGAAGTTTTAGTGAACACAAAATAAAGAAGTGGAATAATTTAAATCAATTCATTAAAAATAACCTAAAAATTGTTAATTACTCTCTCTTGCACATTATACAATTTTGGCAGCCCTTTCGTCACACTTTGAATTGCTCTGAATATAAATATCGACGGCTCCCGTTGATATGATCTTGTTTCAATTCCCAGTAAGAAACGAAAAATTGAAAAGGATTAAAATAATTCAAACTCTGTATGGTGTAGTAGAAATTATCCAATACTTTTGAATGCCATTTCTGTCCAATACTTTTCTATACCATGATAGGACCACGTTTCGTCTAAAAATGAATGCTATTCAATTCTTTTTGTAATTTTTAACAAAGACAAAATTTTTTTCTGAATGCTTTCCAATCCTATCCGAAATTATTACAGCCTGTCATTATATCACTTTTCAATTTTTCATTGGAACCGCGTTTCTGCATGCATTCAAGCAATCTTCTGGATTTTTGTAATTTATAAGATACATACAGTGGCAGATTTTGTAAAAAGTGTTTGTGTTCAAAGAAAAACTTGCTGAAAAATTGATTGTTTACCAATTTAACGTCATTTAAACGAGTCAGGGCCGTTATTCTGTTAGACAATAAATCATAACCTAAAAATTTCAGAGACCTTTAAACACTTTTAACCCTCTTAACTGATAATTTAATAATTATTCCTTTTTAAAATAGCAAATAAATTCATGAGTGCAGTTATTTGAAAGTAATTGAACATTCTATATGTCAACAATATTAGTATTATATTATTATACTACTGTCGTGGAATTCAGAAGCATAGGGCAGAAATGGTATTCAAAAGAATAGAATTTTTTTAATGCTTCTTAATCTTTGCTTTCTTACTGGGTATTCAAGAGGATTGATATCGTTACTATTTATATTGCTCTCACTGGATAGAAAAGTATTGGACAGAAATGGCATTTAAAAGAATAGAATCTTTTTAATACTTTTCAATTTTTCGTTTCTTACTGGGTTGTCAAAATAATAAAATCGTCTTTGGAGCTCAGTTCAATATGATCTCTATTCAATTGTCAATTTAATATAATCTCGCAAAAGTTTCCGTGTAATAAAATCTTAATTCAGAGTAATTTTAAATTCACTTAAAAAATAAAATATTAATTCGTTTTTAATATTATTTTTTGTTTTATAATGATTAAATAGTGATTAATAAAATATAGAAAAAAAATAAAGAAAATTATATAATAAATAAAAAACGATATAAATAAATTAATTTTAACAATTAATATAAGAAATAAAAATTAGAAAAAATAAAGAAAGTAATAAAATTATACGAAACTAATTAATAAGAAAAATACTAAATAAACTAAAATTAAGTAAAATTTCGTTACGTTTTAATTATATTTTATTTTGTTAATAATTATTATTTGAAATTTCTTTGATTTATTTTATTAATTTTACTATTATTGTAGGTTAATTATTGTATTTATAACAATATTTATTTTTTATTATTTATATTACCTACATTATACCTAAAAAATAATTTCAGTTGAAAAATGTAGTGTAATATAATTCTTAATATATTTTTTTAAAATAATATAGATAATACCCATTTTATTATACTTTGTTTTTTTTTATTTAATTAATTTTATTATTTTTTGCAATATTATTTTATACTTTTTAATGAATAATGAATTTTATTAATTAAAATTAGTTAGTTTAGTATTTTTATTATTATTTAGATTTGTATAATTTTATTATTTATTTTTCTATATTTTATTTTATTAATCATTATTTAATCATTATACAACCTAAAATAATATTAAAAATAAATTAATATTTTATTTTTTAAGTGAATTTAAAATTACTCTGAATTAAGATTTTATTACACGGAAACTTTTGCGAGATTATATTAAATTGACAATTGAATAGAGATCATATTGAACTGAGCTCCAAAGACGATTTTATTATTTTGACAATTGAAACAAGATCATATTAACGGGAGCCGTCTATTATGACAGTGATCATATAACAAACTCAAAGCAATATAGATAGTCGAATTAAATAGTCGCGTAAAGATTGAGAAATTAAGACGAGTAGAGACGAAAACAACGTGAGGTTAAAAATGAGTGTTTTAAATTGTCCCATTTAAATAAACCGTTAATAGTGAAAAGTTCAAAATAGTAATTACTGACAATTAACAAATGAACAACCCATTAACAAAATAATCAATCATCAAATTTGCCCGTTCTGACCAGAAGAAAGGTTAGTTTTAAATGACTCTCTCTCATTCTTCTTGTTTCAGTGCGGTAGGGATTAAGGTTACATAATATAAAGATAATTGTAAGTAAAAATCAATTATGACTATTGCTAAATAAATATAATATCTTATTTGGTCTAAACAAGATGTTAAATTGTTCTGAACCCATAGTTCTTATCTGCAATCCCTAATGAAATTCCTAAAAGTCCTAAATTAACAATAGATTGAAAATTAAATTAATCGAGATATAAAGAGAAGAAGAATACACGATCCCATAAATAAAAACATTTAAATTCATTTTAAGTGGTTGTTGTGAACCGAAGATTAAGCTACTACAACTTTTGTTTTATTAATTAGATAACGAAGGACCTTATTGAATAACCTATATATATATATATATATATATATATATATTATAAACATTTTTTCACAACACTTTGGAATAGATTAATAAAGTTTAACTATATTTTTTTGGGATTTTAAATTTTGCAAAAAATTAAAAATTTCTCGTAAAAACTTGCCCGTAACTTTAAAAAAATGTTAGGATCAATGTTTTTCCATAATTATTTGTAGAGTTTTTTAGACGCATCTTTTAAGCCCTAATCTAACATTTTTCGTCCATATTAACTATGGAGATATTAAACTTTTAAAAATATAAAATTTTGGAAAATAAGAATTTTTTGAAAATTTTGTTGAAAAATGTAAAAGTAACTTTAAAAATATCATTAACAACTTGTAGAGCATTAAAAAACGCTTCGATTGACCTATTTTTGAACCTATCTGAAAAAAATATATTTATGGTACTGCCATAAATGTAGCCAATTCTCACATATTATATTGGCGGATATGGAACTGCCATACAGTATTGCTGTTTCAGCCATACGCAGTGTAGAACAACCTTATATGTATGTGAGAGATAGTAATATGTATGTGGAGAACACCAACACTGTATTTTAAGAACATCAATACAGTATTGCTGTTTCAGCTATACATCCTAACCATACTTGTATGTCAAAATTTACATTATCATTTTTTTCAGTGTAATTCGATCATGAATTTCAAAATTATTGGTATTTTAAAAACCAAAAATTGGGGTAAATGACATTTTCTCAACTTTTTTATTTGAAAACTTTTCTTTAACTATAAAACTATTATAACTATCTTGTAGGGTATTTAAAAATACATTGATTGGCCCAAGATTCAATCACTTTTACCATATTTATAAAAAGTTATTCATATATTTCTATTATTATTATCTCTATGAGGAAGAAAAGTGTTCATGAAATGAGCACCAAAATTATAACAAAAATGTACAACTTGGCAGCGTTTTTTACTCCTTTTTATATGTAGAAACATTATTATATATATATGAAATTAGTTAGAAAAATGAACAAATGAAAAATTGACTGAAATTAGTATTTTTTATTCAGCTAAAAAACAATTTTAAAAAAATGCTCCAAAAGCTGAACTTTATTTTTAGTTGCAATATTTTTTTGAACTACTTATTGCAGTTCTTTGATAAGACAATGGATTTTAATTTGTACGTAAAACTTATCTTTCTGTGAAAATTGAAAATATTATAAAAGAAGTTCCTAAAAGTTTCCTAAAAATTTCTTAACAGTTTTCTGAAAAAAATAAGAAAATGTTGAATAGAAAAGTTCTATATTCGAAAAAATAAATAAAAAAAATACTCTGACTTTGAACGTAAATATTTATATAGAAACCAATACTTTTTTCAGGTATATTGGCGGGGATGAAGTTGAAGCTTTAAGGGAGCAAACAAATGCAACGGAAGTGGACAGCCCAAAAACGTGGGTCGCCTACAGTCTTTTGAAAATTCGTGGACAAAGGGAAAATCACGGTCTTCCTATTAGATGTCTCACTCTACATCCATCCAACACGTCTCCTGCTTACGCAGAATCGCGACTGGACGTTCATTGTGAGTGACTGTTACAGACTTCGCACTCGATAATTAATTTTCAAAAAGTGTCAAAAAGTAGCTTTCAAACTAAAAAAAAGTAGTCAAAAAGTAGCTACCGAAAAATTAAACTTGATGACCAAAAAACTCGTTTTAGACACTTATATATTTTATTTTCCTGACTTTTTCCTTATTTTCATCAAAAATATTTAATTCTTTCTTATCCTGCTAATAAATTTAATTCCTGCAACGAATTTTATTAGATATTCATAAAAATAATTTAATTCTTGCGAAGAATTTTATAAAAATGTTTAAATAATTAATTTCTTTCGACTAATTTTATGCAAATTCTAATTTAAATAATTTGATTCCTGAGAAATTTTTATTATTCATGAAAAGAATAAATTGAATTCTTACGAAGATTATTTAAAAAAACTTTTTTTAATAATTGAATTCTGTTTGGAAATATTATGAAAATAGTAGATAAAATTGCGAAAAGCTTTCAAAAATAATTTAATTCTACAAAGAATTCTATTTTTGACAATAATTGAATGTCTGTGTATAGTATTTTATTAAATTTTTTTGAAAATAATTGAATTCCTAAAAAGCATTTTATTATTTATGAAAATAATTGAATTCTTGCGAACGATTTCATTAGAATTTTTTTAAATAATTGGATTTCCATGAAGAAATTTATTATACTTTTAAAAATAATTGAATTCTTGTGATGAATATTGTTATTTATAAAAACAATTGAATTTTGCAAAGAATTTTATTAAAATGCCTCAAAATAATTGAATTTTCGGGAATAATTTTGTTATTTATCGAATTAATTAAATTCTTTCAAAGAATTATTTATGTAAATAATTGAATTCTTGGAAAGAATTTTATTAAAATCTAAAAGAATAATTAAATTATTACAAAAAATTTTAATTAAAAAATTGTTTTTAAAATAATTGATTTCTTTCGAACAATTTTATTAAAATAATTGAATTATTGCGAAAAATTGTATTAAAATGTTTAAAAAGAATTAAATTTCGGTGAAAAATTTTGTTATTTTTGAAAATAATTTTTTCGAAACATAATAAATAGATATTATGAAAATTTTTATTTTAAATAATTGAATTCTTGTGGAAAATTTTTGAATTGAATTTTTCTATTAATTAATTTAAAATAGTACCTATTAAAAATAATTAAAATTGATTTTTCAAAATTTTTTGAAAATGCTATTCTAAATTAATTGAATTCCTGTGGAAATTTTATGCAATATATTTATGAAAATAATTGAATTTTGGATGAATTTATCAATTTTTTTTTAAATAATTGAATTATTTTGCGAAATTATGAAAATACTAGATATTGAAAATAATTGAATTTCGAATATTTTTTGAAAATAATTGAATCTTTTTAAAGAATTTGATTATAATTTTTGAGAATAGTTTTTTGATTTCTAGTATTAGCGAATTTAAAGTAGTGGAAATGTTGAAAAAAATAGTAGCTTTTAGTGGCTGAACCTAAAAAAGTACCCAAATAGTAGCATAACGTAAAAAAGTAGTAAATAGTAGGTTTTAGTAGATGAGTGCGAAGCTTGATGTCATTTAATAAATAATACAACTTTAATTAATTTCAATTTAAGTGTAAGAATGAAAAAAAGATAATTTCAACTATATATCTTGTTTGTAATGTATTGGATTTTGATTACTTTTTTCCGTTCAGATACGCCGGAAACGAGAATAGAAACTAGTCCACGAATGTTGACGACCGCCTTAGAAGATTCAGCGAGTTTCATAAGTTTGAAATGCATCGCCGATTCCAATCCGGTCGGTTCAATTAAATGGTTCAAAGATTCCACTTCAATAAGTACAACGAACAGCGCAACAATGACTTTTTCAGCTAACAGGACTTATCAAAATAACACTCTAATTGCGTCCGAAGTGAGATTTGAACCCGTAATGAGAGGTGACGCTGGACTATATTCCTGCAAGGCTACAAATATCATTGGTGACAGTGCACCAGCCAGTTACAGAATGGACGTTCAGTGTTAGTAAAGATCATTTTTATAATTTTATTTCCACTGATTCTAGCATTTTTGAAAATATTCAAAAGATTTAATCCTTCTAGAATTTTTTCTTCAGGGTGCTACAAATGCAGATATCAAATTGAGACAAAAAACGTGGAAAAATGTTGAAACTAAACTTTGAAATTATTACAGATGCGCCAAAGTTAAAAGCAAGCAAGAAGACGTTAAATGGAAGCATTCCAGATGTGGAAGAAATTACGTCCCTCGGCACAACCATAGATCCATTTGAGTGCGCTGAATATGATGCAAATCCACCGGCACAATACAGATGGGAGCATGTGCGTGGAGGGATTCCGGAAATTATTGAAAATCCAACACAAGACAAACAGGGCGGCAAAAAACTAAGACTGGAAAATGTCATGTGGTCCGATGAGGGCGAGTACAGATGTTTCGCATACAATTTCATCAACGGCGTTCGAAGGGAAATTCGAAGCGAGGAACGTTTTATGCTCAATGTCATGGGACCGCCAGAAATACAAACCATACGTTCTTCTGGAGATAATGGAATTTATGAGTCAATAGGATGGTCCGGAGAACCGGTACATCAATTAAAGTCCAGCTTTTGCTCGAGGCCTCCGCCCCGATTAGTCGCTTGGCAGTGGGGGAGTTCTCATATTAGAGCAGGTATGTATTTTTTTTTTAGAAAGAGAAACAAAAAAAAAGTAAAAAACCCTAATTGCCCTCTGACTAATTTCAAACAATTCCTTTCTTTCGTAATTTTCGTTTAGAGCCTTACTATCGAATTCAAGACTAAATTGGATTTTAATGGCTTTATCATATAATTTTCTCATTACGTAAGACAATAGAAATGGAGACGCATGAATATTCATCGAAAAAACAACATGAGTCGAATTTTAAGTCTTTCGAAATTCTTAAACTCGCGAATTAGCAGATAATTTTATATTTCAACAAAGATCTCTGACTTTATTGTCAAGAAAAGAAATATTATTAAAGTTACGGTTTTAAAGAAGTATTGCTAATTTAGAAACAAGGGACAAAAGTCGTTTTAGTCGATGAAAGATATAAAAACATCGAAAAAGTAATTTATTTTAAATTCAATTTTGGCACAAAATCCAAAAAAGTCCGCACTGAAAAAACAATATGCAGTCAACCAAAAATTATTTTTGAATTAAACATAATAATTTTCATTCAACTGGATTCAACACCTAATAAGTTTCAATAAGTTTTATTATTTTTTTTTAATAGAACTTTTTTATTCATCATTTTTTTATTTCTTTTCAGAAAATTGTTAGGAAAATTTTAAGAAATTTTAAGGGATCCTTTGTTATACAGAGAACATTAAGTTTATCGTATAAAGTAAAATCCATTGTCTTATCAAAGAACCGCGCAATAAGTGGTTTAAAAAAAGTCATTTATTTTAAATTCAATTTTGTCACAAAATCGGAAAAAGCCGAAATAGTAATTTATTTTATTTAATAATTATCACAAAAATTTAATTTTGTATTTTTCTGACCTTCACTGATTTCCAAATACAATTATTAAAATTTTCAATAACTTTGTTACATAAATATTCAAATCAGCTTATTTCTTTTTTTACATAAGAATTAAAATTTTTTAAAGTTCACTTTTAAATCTACTGAAATTTAATTATTTCTTAAAATTACAACTGTAACACTTTCAAAATTTAATTATTTTATAGAATTTTTTACTAAACTTTTTTTCTGAAACAATTATTTTTCATAATTTTTCGAAAGTTTTACGACAATTTAATTATTTGAACAAAAATATTCGATTTTTTGTAAAAATTGTTATAATTATAATAACTGTAACTCTTCATGTTTTCTTTCAAAGTTATTAAGGCGAATTATTAAAAATTTTTGAAAAATATTACAAAATACTAAGGTTCTTCAAGAGTTTTAAATATAAATTTTGAAAGTATGTACATGACCGAGTGATTCAATAGTGTGACAGTAATCAAATGTCTATAAATGTAAAAAAAAAGTTATGTCATTTCATTTTAAAAAAAAAGTACTCTGATTTATTGTTACACTGTTGGTCAAGAAGAATTGACAAGGGTTACTTGTATTCGGGACTTGGGATTGCTTTTTTGCAGTGACCTTTCATTTAATAGACATACATCTGAAGTAATTTCAAAAGCCTTAAGAGCTCTTGGTTTCATAATTAGAAATGCATCAATGTTTCATAATATTAATACACAAAGAATTATTTACTTCTCTTTGGTAAGATCGCTGCTGGAGTATGCTTCTGTAATATGGGTGCCATTTTATGATTTTAACATAATTAGAATTAAAAGAATTCAAAATAGATTTCTTCATTTTGTAGCGAGACAATTTAATGTTCAATTTGACAGATACTCCCATGACTACAGTACATTGAGATTATCATTTAATACTCCACTAATTGCATCCAGATTTCTTTTTAATGACTTGACTTTTTTTTATAAGGTCTGAAATAATAAGTGTAAAAATAGTCGTAAATAGTTTTTAGTTGATAAATGCAAAGTCTGTTGTATGAAAATTAAATAAAAATAATAAAATATTTAAGTATAATATTAATTAAACTTTATAAAATCTGATGGAAATGAAAATCTAAACGTTTTTTTGGTAAATATCCGCGCGACTCCAGAAGCACCTCAAAAAAGAACCCAAAACAGAAAAAATATAAAAAATTGCCAACTAACATGAAATAAAATTTTTTCAGGTGAAACGATTCATCCAAAATACGAGGCACTACCCCTGGAGCCAATTGTCGAAAGTAAATCGATTTCCAATTGTTATTGGGCGATCCTCGTTATAAAAAATGTCCAAAAAGAAGACGCAAGAACGTACACACTTTTGGTGGAAAGTGAAAAGGGCAGGGATTCGACGAATTTAAAATTACTCGTCCGCGACCCAACGGAAATGCGAGTACTGGCAGCAGCTGCTGCGGTGGGTTTGCTTTTTATCTTTTTGCTGATATGCATCGGAATCTATTGTTGGTGCCGCGTAAAACACAGACGATATCGGCAAGAGGAAGAAGAGGAGGGCAGCATCGCGGCCGATGCATTCTATAATACAACTTCAATAGATCGACAGAGTAAAATTCATCATGATTCCACGCAAAATAAAAATAATAACTTCACAAGAAAGCCGACCACTGACAGCGGCCTGTCAGTTATGTATAATTATGATCAGATGAATAAACAGATGAGTCCAGAAGCATTGAAAGTCAGACGTGCTCCTGCTGTTCTGCAGGCTCCAACAATTGTTTAACAATTCAAGCGAAACGACCATTTTTTGCGTACAAAAAATTATTATTATTTGGGTCATTCCAGGGGAAATTTTCATTGAAAAATTATTTTTCTCGATTTCTGTATTATTTATTTTGTCACCGAATGAAAATCGTGGAAGTTGTGACTTTTACAAATTCAACTTTTTCAGTCGCCGAGAACATCACTTCGGTTTCGAGAAGTCACTTTTTCAAATTTATTTTCAATCTGCTTCTCAATTTGTAAATTTAACTAATAAATTAGTAGAAATTACTATTTATTAGTCAAATTTACTAAATTAGTAGAAATTACTATTTATTAGTCAAATTTACTGATTCCAAAGCAAAAAGAAACATAATCAGTCACTAATTAAAATTATTAAACATTTTTACTAATTTAAATTTAGAGAAAGTCATTTTTTATTAAATATCTATAAACTTTAAGAAAAAACGAATAAATTATAACAAATAGAAATAAATAAAATAAAAACGTTTTTCTCTACTTTTTTTTTACTTTTTTTTCTATTAGAAAAACGTATTTCAAAAAAGTCTTCGGAGTCTGAAAAAGTTGAATTTAAAAAAATCACAACTTTCCCAATATTCTCCAAGAAACAAAACAAAAAAATGTGTTTTCTTATTTGTTATATATGTACAATTCAAAAATAATTGTTCCAAACAAAAACAAAAAAAAATATAAAAAAATGAAAATTACACCTGGAATGCCCCATTTATCTTGTACAAATTTATAAATAGTAATACAACTTTTTTTTGCTACAGATTTTTTTTTGCAATTTTTCAATTATATAAATTTTTTAGAAATATTTGATAATCTTTTTAAAAAAATTTTTCAGAAAATTTTCAAGTTTTCAATTAATATTTCAAAAAATTGTATTTAGAAAAAACTAAAACTACTGTCCGAAGTAAAAACCTAGTAATGTCGCATTTGCCGTAAGGTTGAAATTCGCTTACTTTGTAAGCGACTTTCAACCTTACGGCGAATGCGACTGTACTAGGTTTTTGCTTTGAACAACAAAAATGTCCTTTTGTACAAAAATTATTTATAAAACAAGTTTTCCTTTTTAAAAAAGTATTTTTGAATGCAAAAAAAAGTATTTTTTTTTATAAATTTACAATAATTTGATAATATTTACAACGTTTGGAATTTTTATTACAATGTTGTTAAATTTAAAAAAAGAGAAGAAGACTATCACATCATCATCATCTTCTAAATTATATTTATTATAAAAATCAAAAACTATGTTTATTAAAAATTTAAGTTAAAAAATTATATTATAAATATCACATATTCCAAAGATTTTGTAAAGTTCCTTCGATATATAACTATTTTGTAAGTAAATTAAATAATACCTATAGTAAAATAATGTTAAAAAATCATGCGAATTCATTTTGTTACAAAACGACTGAAAAGTCGCACAAAAAATTAGAATTATTTATTATATTTGTTGTTTTGTACTTTATTTTGTAAGTTAACAACAAAGAACTGAATATAATAAATTTATTTTATAGTTTTAAATTTAGTATATGATTTTAAAAATATTTTTAAGAGTATGTATCATTTGTTATATGTTAATGTATAAATATAAACAAAACGAAATGACCTGTAAATTATATTTTTCAATAAATTAACAATTTCAAACAATTTATGTGCTTTTTTGAATTTAAATTTCGATATATCGCATGTGCCATTCGATTCGATCGTATCAATTAATTTCGAGAATTCAAAACTCGAAGTGTCAACAACACAACGTATCACTGACATTTGTGTGTAATGAAAAAAGCGAAAAAAGTAATAAAATAAATGAAATTAGGTGCAAATCTTGAAACTATTATTAAACGGAGTTAAAATTATTAATAAACATAGTTTTCAAAATAAAATTACTTCATCAAGACAAGGTGACTATGTACACTTATTATAATATATCATTTTCCTCTTTTTCTAAAACATAACCTAAAAATTGTACAATTCTCTTTTCGTTGTGTTGCAATAAAAATGTTATTTTAAAAACGATTTTAGTTTAGTATTCATTAGTACTTATTGAATTTTCTTTATTTTTAGGCACTGCAACTTTCATAAAAATTATATATTTTATTTGATTGACTGCAAAGACTGCAAATAAAAATGACATCCGACAGCAGTAGTAATAGCAGTGACGACGAAAGTAGAAACAAATCTCGAAGAAAGCGAAAGAGTTATCAAAAAACCAGCAGTGATAATTATCGAGAAAGTAATCGCAAATATGATTCAGACAGAAATGATCGAAGAAGTAAATTTCACAAAAGTAACAGTCGACCCGAACGAAAAAGGAGGTTAGAAACTCCACCTCCAAGGAGAAATGATCATCAACGACACATGGACGCTGAGGGAACGTCAAAAAGGCCTAGGAGTGATAAACGTGATTTTAAAGAGAGGCGAGATAATAAAAGCAGTTTCGACAGAGAACGAGTTAAGAAAGAAGCATCGCCACAGTGGGGAAAATCGAATATAAAAACCGAGGACCGACCAAAACCCCCAGAGAAGGAGAAGCCGAATTTTGGATTATCGGGTAAATTAACCGAAGACACTAATACAGTGAATGGAGTTGTGATAAAATATGCCGAACCCGATGATGCCATGAAACCAAAAAGAAGATGGAGACTGTATCAGTTTAAAGGAGAAAAATCTCTACCTACACTTTATATTCATCGTCAGTCTGCCTTTCTAATGGGTAGAGATCGTAAAATTGCAGATATTCCCTTGGATCATCCTTCCTGCTCCAAGCAACATGCGGCTTTGCAGTATCGTTTAGTTCCATATTCGAGGGAAGATGGTTCACAAGGTAGACGTGTGCGACCCTATTTAATTGATTTAGAATCGGCGAATGGAACATTTGTTAATGATGTCAAATTAGAAGCGAGAAGATATCACGAATTACTTGAACGAGATGTCATTAAATTTGGCTTCAGTACCCGAGAATACGTTTTACTTCATGAAAAAAGTAAGGATGAGGACCAAGATGACGATGTTCCAAGTGGCTCGAAATAGGTAATATTTTAACTCTTTTCTTTAATTTCTCCTTTCTAACACAATTTTAGGCCTCGGATATAATTTTGCAACAAAATACCACATTTTTAGTATAAAATGAAATTTATTTCGATTTTTATAGTGTGAAAAGTATCTATAACTATAGACAAACGTTTGAAAAGATATTTTTCAATCATTTTTCTAATTAAATATTTGAAATATACAAGATTTTGAATAATTGAAATTTTGTAAAATTTAATTGAAAATAAATCATTTTTTTCAAGTGTTTTATTACAATTTTTAAAAAATTAAGTTTTCAAAAATTTTAATTGAAAATTTTTGATTTTTTTTAAATTATACAAAAATTCTTTTTAGAAATTCAATTATTTTCGAAAAATTACATTACAATATTGATAAAAAACTAATTCTTCAAATTTTTTTATCATAATTTTTTAAGATTCAATTACCTTCGAATAGAGCTGTGCAAAATTCGAAACGAACCGAACCGAGTTTTGTTCGGTTTTGGGGCGCCGAAATGTCGAATGTCGAAAATTCGACATTTGAATCTCTAGGCTAACTCGAATGTCGGTTATTCGACATTCGAACTAGGCGACTGAAATGTCGAATTTTAGAATTCGACATTTTAGCGTTCCAAAACCGAACAAAACTCGGTTCAGTTCGAATTTTGTAGTAACTCGAATGTCGAATATTCGAATAATTTTTTAAATTATTTTTCAAAGACTTTACCAAATTTCAATTTTTTGGACATTTCTTAATTGTATGTAATTGTAAAAATATTGTCTTTCACAAATTATTTAGAAATATTTAAAAAAATTAATTTTAAAAAATTCTTTATTAAAAGTTTTGAAAATATTCTTCCTTAATATCTTTAGAATGAAAAATGAACAGTTTCAATTATTATGAGAATTGAATTTTTGTATTGAAATTATTGAATTCTTGAAGAACTTTTGGAAAATTATTAAAAATTAATATAGATAATTGATTTAGAGATGAAGTTTAGTTCAAAATTGTAGAAAATAATTGAATTTTGGAAGGGTTATAGTTGTAATTTTAGAATTTAATGAATTTCAAAAGTTGAAATTTTTTAAATTTTATTTCCCGTGAAAAAGAAATAAGAAGTATTTAAATATTTATTTAGCAAAATTATTCGAGTTTTTATTAATTCAATTTAGAAATCAGTGAAGAATCAGAGAAATATAAAATAAAATTTTTTGTGACAACATTGAATTAAATAAACGACTTTTCTGACTTTTTTTTCTATTTTTAATCGACTAAAACGCCTTTTTTGGTTCGTTAAAGTTGATCCGAGGCCTGCAACCTGAAAATACGTTTAAAATACACAATAAAAAAAAGGAATTAACAGAAAAATTTCTTTTACAGAGTTTTCAATCTACATACCTTACGTTTGGAACATTGTAAAATAAAACCTGTAACTAGCAAAGAAAATAAGACGGAAGTTTTAGACAAGATTTTGCATAATATAGAATTGCAAATCAATGAGCAATTTATTTAGGTATGCTACAATTTTTATATTGGTATTACTGATATAAAAAAACATTTTCAGAAAAAAAAGAATTTCGATAGAGTGATATTAGATTTTAATGAAATTTAAAATTATCAAATGTACCTCTTGAGTTATAATTAAAAATTCGAAAATAATTAATTGTAGTTCAAAGGATAATTAAAAATAATTAAAATTAGTTGAAATTAATTTTTTAAAAACGATTGTAATTAAAGAAAAATTTAATTTTCAAAGGTTACGAGATTCGTATCCTCCCCCGTTTGCTTGTTTGGTATTTACAATGACTTCGAAAAATTGAGATAATTACATTTTTAAAAATCATAAAGACAAAACAGGTGAGTTTTAAATTATAATTACAATTGTAATTAACAAATAATCAACATGTATGATTACTCAATTTGATGAGTATTTGTAAATAATAAATGCAATGTAAATATATATAAAAATTCTCAAATGTGATGAAAAATTTATTTACAATCGTTATGTCAAATATTAACATTACTTTTGATTTTCCATGTCTACACAAACGTATGAAGCAAATTTTTAACAAATTTACAATTGATATAAACAATATACAGGACTTATAAATTTCAGATTGCTGTGAGTTTGTATTTGTCAAAATTAGAAATATATGAAAAAATCAGACTTTTTTTCCTTAAATATTAATTCTGTTCGTTAATTTTTTTTCAATGGGTAATTTTTCAACTTTTTTGTGAATGAAGTTCACAACGTTTATCATCAACGATTGGAAGACAAAACATTTTTTATTCATAAAATAAAATTTTACGTTGCAAATTCTTTTTTAAGTTTTTCATCAAAATTGTAAACATTTTTGGAAATTAAAGTTTGGAACTTTTAAATGAACGACGATATTTTTTAACCTCTTTAAATTTTTATTTTGTTTGAATATAAATTATTGTGTATATTTAAAAAATTAATTCTTAACTAAATAAATGTTTAATTTTAATTATTTTTTTTCTTTTTTGAATTGTAATTTTAGTAAAATATTTTAGAAGAAGAAAAGTTTCGTTCATTGCAACGTTTTTGAAGATAAAATTTGAATAGACAATTATTTTTTTCTTTAAATCGATGATTATAAACGTTGTGAACTTCACCAACATCAAATAATTAAAATAATTAGTCATAAACTTTATTATAATTGAAATAATTAGTTTTTAATTTCTCTTCTCAAGGAAAAAAATTTATACGCACTTCTGAGCGTCAAGTTCCGTAATTTTTTGTTGAATAAAAATTTCAAGTCCATTCTGCAAGTTACCTGAAGTTTACCTAACTTTATAGAAAATCAATTTACTACTTTTAAATACATAAATAATACCTAATTGAAGGCACTGTTTCGTAATAAATAATTCAAATAGAAGAATTAATAAACAAGTAACAGCTTATATATTGAAGTACATAAAAGTAAAAGCTATTTCATTTATTCCTTAGACAATAAATTATTCTCGTCTACTTTTTTAATGTATAAATAACTAGTATTTAAATATTTAATATATATCGTTCTCATTGAATAAAAAAAACTACTAATTATAATTTAACTAGTAATGATCACGAGTTTTACTCATTCAATTTGTAACAATTTTTTATGATCCTGAAGTTCTGAATGTTCAAATGAACGAAAATTGATTTCTTTTTCAAATTCAATTTTTATTGCAATAATATGTAAAATTTGATTTTATTTGAATTTTAATAAAATTTTTTTTTATTATTTATTTTTAATTTTTTATGAAAAAAATTTAATAAAAAATACTTCCTTCATTTAAACAATCAGAATTTGTGAATCATCAATTTATAATTTTACAGTATAAAAATATCATTTGGCATACATTCACTAATATTAATGACTTTTAAGACTTTTAAGATTTTTTCTCATTAAAAATGGCAGTTAAAGTGGCACCTTTGCAATTTCTTGAAAAAGAAATATTTTTACAATGTATTTTAATAGATTATTCCTAACTTTTAATTCAAATCAATAGATCAGTCTGAATTTGCAACTTCATACAATAAATTGACTTTTTCTCAATTTTATTATTTTTAAGATCCATTTACCCTAAGTGCATCAGTATTTACAATTGTATAGGTAATGATTCTCTCATTATCATCAATATCAGGTGTCTGTTGCAGTAAGTTTAATAAGGCATTATTTATCATTAGAGGAATTTTCGCTTTCTGTAAATTGCTTTTTGGAATTTTCGATAAATTTAGAATCTTATTATTTTTACTGTCTAAATTATATTGACTAATTTTGCTCGAAACTTTCGTGAATGTTTCGGAATTAATTATCGAAGAACTCGGTCTCGTAATATCTAGACTTGCATTTGATTCTCTAGAACTGTTTATATTTTCCTTTAGACTTGTTTTCAATTGACTTGAACAATTCTCAATTGAACCTGCTTTTGTTTCTTTCCTTTCATTTCGAAAATATTTGGTAAATGCTACAGAATCTTTATAATTACCGGAAATATTTCTTGACTTACGATTGTCAAGGGATCGGGATTTTTTTCGATAATTTACCAAAGAGTTTCTCTTTTTTTCCGGAATGTTCAAACTCGTTACAGAGAGTCTTCTTTGTTGGGATTTTTTCTGTAGGATTTTATTTACAACTTGTTTGTCTACTATTTGACTCTCTAGATTCGATAATTCTTCGTCTTTTGTATCCGTTTGTTTTATGTGTCTTGAATTTTCGGATGATTGGAAATTTTCATTTGCATTTTTATGAATTACGGTCGATTTTGGCACTTCGTAGGCACATAGGGGATTTTTTGGGGAAATAGACCATTCGTCTGGATTTGATAGTAATTCTAAATATTTTGGGGCTAGTGCTGGTGAAATTATACTTTCCTGAACGATGGACTGTAGTTGTTGGCTTCCTTCTGAATTGTTTGATTTTTTAGAACCTACAATATTAAAATTAGAAATCATGTAATTTTAATTGTAATTTGGCTTTCTCATAGAGGAAGGATTGTATTTTATAATTTTTAATGTAAAATATATTTATTTTTGTACCTATCACGTAAAAGAAACACTGACCGATTTGTGACAAGTAACGACTCGAGAAGACTTGAAGTAAACATGAGTCTTCAGTGGTAACTCTCAAGTTGATAATTTCTTCAAGACATGTTTTGAAAGATGGCCTCCTCTCAATACAGCTCCAGCAACTCAGCATTAATTGGTGCAAAGAGTTCGGGCAATTAAGAGGTTTCTGCAACCTTCCGCCACTTCTCACGTAATGAAGAACTTCTTGATTCGTTCTGGCCGGATATGGTTGTTGCCCCAATGATGTTATCTCCCACATAAGGACACCAAATGCCCAGACGTCGCTCTGAGACGTAAATACTCCATCCACGAGTGATTCCGGAGCCATCCAACGCACTGGTAATAATCCTTCTCCTTCCTAATTAAAATTTATTTTGCCTTAAGAATTTATTTTTTTGTTCTGATGTAATGAATTTAATGAATAATTTTTTCCATTAATGAATATTAATCGAAAATTAGATTGGTCTACTTAATTCAATTATTAGAGTAATTAATTAGATTTGGAGGGAAACGCACCTTACGATAATAGTCATTTTTATAAATATCTCGAGCGAGACCAAAATCGCCAATTTTCACGACCCGGAGTTGACGATCATTGGATGATACCAAACAATTTCTACAAGCGAGATCGCGATGGACAAAATGAAGTTCTTCGAGATAGCGACAACCTCTGGCTACATCTTCACATATTGATAATAAATCCTGGAGAGTAAGAGCACTGGGACATGAAGACTGAATAGCACGATTAGATCTCAAATAACTTAACAAATCGCCAGCTTCCATTAATTCTAGGACCAGCAAAGGCGAATCCGTTTCCAAACAAACGCCTAATAACAAGAGAACGTGTTTGTGTCGAAAATGACTCATTAGTCTGGCCTCTTGAATGAATTCACTTTTCTCTTGAGACGATGCTCCTTTTCTTAAGGTTTTTATTGCAACTGGCGTAAATCCCGGTCCATTCAAATCCTTCGCAGTTCCTTGAAAAACCTTGAGAAAGAAAATCCATTTTTAAATACAATTCAAAAATTGTATATATTTTCTAATTCGAAAATGACAAACCTCTCCGAAAGCACCACTCCCCAAAAATCTGCTCAATATTATTTCATCTCTTTTTAATTTAGGTAACATCTCATCATCTTGACCAACTTGCAGCGTTGATGGTCCATACAAAGCATTCGATTGAATAAAATTCCCTCGAGGAATTTCTCTCAGAGTGGCCAATTCCATGTCACCAGGTATTCTCGGTGATAAAATTGCCTTCTTATCTTCTTTACGCTGCTTATAACTTCCTAAAAGGATTCGAATACAATAAATTATCTGCTTTCATAATTAAAATTGATTATAATTTTTGTACTTTTTAATGCAATTGTACAAATAAAAAATGTTATATTGTTATAAATTAAAATATCAAATTTTCGATTTGTTAAAATAAAAAGATGAATAAAATAAAACTTACTACAGATTAGAAAACAGAAGCTGAATAATATGACGCTAATGACAACAGAGGAACTCATGATCAGAATCGATCCAACAGTTGGCTGTGAAGTCACTAGATCATTATTACTATAAGTTAAATCTATTTCTTCACTTGATTCACTCCAATTGCCGAAACCGTGAACGTTATTAGCTTGAACTCGAAAATAATATCTATAAACCAATTCCGAATCAATTGTCCAGCAGTTATCAGTTCCATTGTAATACAACTTCCATTTATTAATTCTATGACTCTGTCCAAAATTATTGAGATCATTCACTATTCTTCCCTCGAGACGATAAAATATTACTGTCGAACCATGAGGTTTTGCTGGTTCCCAATTTAATTTATATACCGATTTTCTCAGTCTTGAAATTGTTGGTTTTCCTGGAGCACTTGGTACATCGCCTAAAATAAAAAAAGTTTTAATGTTTGTTTCAGTTTTAATGTAATATAACAGGCTTCGCACTCATCTACTAAAACCAACTATTTATTACATTTTACGATTTTCTAATATTTGGATACTTTTTTTTTAGATTTGTGACACTAAAAACCTCTTTTTTTGAGAATTTGCACTATTTTAAATGGACTAATAGTTGAAATAAAAAATTTTTAACCAAACTCTTTGAAGTGACTCAATTATTTTCAATATATCTACTATTTTTAATAAAGTTGACCAAAAAGAATCAATTATTTAAAAAAAAATGTTGAAACTATTCTTTGCAAACAATCAATAATTTTCATAAATAATCAAATTTTCAATTACAGTGGAACTTCGATTTTCCGTCTCTCGGTCTATCGTCACCGCGGTTATCCGTCACTATTTGAGTTCAATTTTTTTTTATTTTTATGAAATAACATTCAAAAATTTATTGATTGGTTTGTGCAACAAAACGATTCAAATTGTACATACGACCATGAAGTAAACAAAAAAACAAAAATCAGACTTTTTGTTCAGAAATTACTTTTTAAAGAAGAAAATATAAGATATTACGTTTTTTTAATAAAAATTTTAAAGTAATTAAGTAGTCTTTTTGTAAAATTGTTTGTTTGTTTGTATGAAGGTGTTGGTCCAATGCCTGACAGAAAATCAAAGTTCAACTATATCTATTTAAAATTTTTTAATAAAATTTATAAAATTCTTCGCAGAATTTCAGTTATTATTTTCAAAAATAATAAAATGTTTCACAAAAATTCAATTATTCTAAAAAATTCTTATAAAATTCGTTGCAAAAATTAAATTAGTCTTCTTAAAAATTGCAATTAAAATTTTTTGAAGATAGTTATATTCTTGTGAATAATTTAAAGAGATTAGGTTAAATTTCCAATTGTTTAAAAAAATTTTTTTTAAATTCTTCGCCAGAATTCAATTATTTTTACAAATAACACAACTCATAGCAGGATTCGAACAATTTAAAATAAATTCCTCGAAAAATTTAATTTATTCTTAACAATTTTATTAAAATTCGTCAAAAGAATTTAATTTTAAGAAATATTTAATTATTCAATAAATTATTTAATTTTGTATTTAAATAATTGAATTCTCGCATAGAATTTTCTAAAAAAAATTGATTTAAAAATGAATTTTAGTTAAAATTCTAAATAATAATTGAATTTCACAAGCGTTATAGAACAAATTTGTTAGAAATTACTTAAATTAAGTAAAAAATTACTTAAATTTCAAAAAAATTTTAAATTCTGTAAAACTCTAATGATATTTAAATTTTTATTTTAAAAAATTATTAATTTATTATTTTATTCAAAACAAGTATGTAATCCCCGCTTTCTCGGCGCGTTTTTGAGACGCAAAGTATGCCTTTACTTCAAGCAGCAGTTTTACGGTCCTAGGACCGTAAAACTACTACTTGAAGCAAAGCCATTAGAGGTGTGCAAAAAGCTCGAAACCCGAAGCTCGAGCGGGTATTTTCGAGCTTTTCATTTTTCGAGCCGAGCCGAGCCTATTCAGTTCGAGCTCGAGCCGAGCTCGGGCCGAGCCGAGCTTTATAAAAAGCTCGAATAATTTCGGGTACTCGAATTTTTCGGGTACCCGAAACTTTCGGGTACTCGAAATTTTCGAGTACTCGATTTGATTCGAGCCCTTGAGAAAATCCAAAATTTTCTACATTAATTTTTAATTAAATTTTTTTTTTTCAAAAAAAAAATTTTTAATTTAAAAGCTCGAATTAAATCGAGTACTCGAAAATTTCGGTTACCCGAATTCATTCGAGTACCCGAAATATTCGAGTACTCGAGTGAATTCGGGTACCCGAATGTTTCGGGTACTCGAAAATTTCGGGTACCCGATACATCGAGCTCGGCTCGGCTCGACTCGAAAAAATTGCGGCCCGGCTCGGCTCGGCTTTTCGAGCTTTTTGCACACCTCTAAAAGCCATGCTTTACCTCTCAAAACGCACCGAGTAACCGCGGATTACATTCTCGTTTTGTATAAAATGTCGTGTGTACCTCGGACGCACGCATTTCTTTTCCTCGCTTGTTTACAGTACTCGGCTTCGCCTCGTACTGCAAAATCAAGCTCGGACGAGAAACTTGCGCTTTGCGTCCTCGTTGCACAATGTACTATTTTATAAAAAATTATTAAAGTTTTGAATAATTTAATTTAAAAAATTCGACAAAAAAATAATTGAATTTTGTAAGAATTACAGTTGTAATATTTTTACAAATAGTGAAATTTAGAAAAGGTTTCACATTAAAATCGTTTAAAACATTTTAATTCCTGTAGACTAATAATTAAGTATTTAAATATTCATTTTAAAAAATTATTCAAGTTTTGAATGTAATTTAACTTAGAAATTATTATGAGAAATATTAGTCTTTTGAAAAGTTGTAATAAATTTTTTTAAATATATAACTATATTCCAGTGAATAATTTGAAAAAATTAAATTAAATGTCCAATTTTTTTGGAAATTTTGTTAGATTTAACTGAAAAAGAATTTTAAATTATCGTATTATAAGAATTTAAAATTAAAATTTAGAAAAGTAATTGAATTTGGCAAAAAATTTGAATTGAAGTTATAGTGTAGAATAAGAAAGAACTAAATTATTTTCGATGAAAATTAGAAAAAGTCGGTGAAATAAAATATAGAATTAAATTTTTCTGATAGCTACTTTTTTACTACTGTTTTCAGTCTTAAAGCTACTTTTTACTACTTTTTTATAATTAATTATCGAGTGCAAATAATTTTTTTTTATTTTAAATTAAAAATTTGTAATTCTTTCTTAAATTCTTTTCTTACCAAGTGTTTCAAAGATGAATCGATCATCACTCGGCCAAGTAAATATATTACTATCGAGATATTTTATATTCAATCGAAATTTATAGGAGTTTTTAGGTTCCAATTCGATAATTTGAAATTCTGCTGTATTGTTAATAATTTTGGAAATGTTGGCAATTTGCCATTCTGCTGAAGACACTGACGAGAATTCGAGAGAATAATTAACAGTCAAGTTAATGGCAGGAGACCAAAATATCCTTAGTGCTCTGGTGAATTGTTTGACAGTTAAATTACTTGGCTCGGGATACATTTTCAGATGTTGATCGAAACTTTGATTGTAATAATCCCTAAAGGTTGGATTATACGCAAGAACGGAAATTTTGTATTCTTCATTGGGAACTAAATGATCTAAGATGACTTTTTTTTCTTTTTCCTTCGGTGTTCCTTCGGTTATATTGTCTGTGCACTGAACAACTTGAGTTGTTGTTTTTCTAAAGAAATTAACAATTTTAATGGCTGTATAATGAATTTCGTAATAAAGTTTATCGGCATTTAACGTTTCTGGAGGTAACCAGTAAACTGCAGCAGTTGTTGGTGTTAAAGATTTTACAGTCACATTTCTTGGTCTTGACGGAATTCCACTTCCGGTTTTTAAAATAACACCAAGACTAAAATTTCCATTTTCACCATAATAGTTGCTTAAAGCTAATTTAAATCTATATTTTGCAAAACTTTTCAAGTTTTCAATTTCTATTTCTGTATCGTAGGTTTGTAATTGTTTTTCCTCTTTGCTATTTTCTTCTAAAAACTCGGAAAAAACGATGGTATACAGTGTGGAAGGTAAGTTGTAATTTTCACAAATTTCACGAACTGCTTTGGGCATTTTGATTCTGATGCTACTTTTAGTTTTGGAAATTTCTTCAATATTATAAATAGTTTGAGCTGGTGTCAAACATTTAACATCAGGATATGGTTGCAATGATTTTCCGATGGTTTTTATTCGTTTTGCATTCACTAGTTGATGTTGTTTCACTGCTTCATTGTCGGGATATACTTTATCGACGAAATATAGTTTTTTACTTTCTGTATTTGACCAGTAAATATTCTTTTTGTCCACGGTTAGAGAAGTTGGAGAAGGTAATTCTTCACTACTGATGACTAAATTACAGAAACATCCGTCAATCTCCGATTCGTAAAGATGTCCTTCCAATGATACCCAATAAATTATCGGATTATGAGGATTTATATTGTCAATTGTGAAAACAGGTCGAACTATTGGTCTGAAAGGACAAGAGCAATCTTTGACTTTATTGAAAAAAGGTTTCACATTCTCTCCGGCTATATCAGAGTACATCATTACTCCACGATCTTGTTTGCTGTTCAATTCCACCCAGAACAATTTTCTGAAAAGAAAATTTATATTTAAAATTAAAAAATATAAAATATTTACTATTCTGATTATAATATTTACCCTTTTGAGGGGGAAATATCCAAATTTACAATTCTGTTATTTCTCAGGATTATTTTTTTATATTTCAAAATTCCAGAAGACCAAGCTGATAAATCCAATTTCATAACGTAACTTCCATTTGATTTCTTATAACTCGATTCGATCCAGAATAAATTTCTTGAAATCCAGTCGACACAAATACTGTTCGCCGGATTATTCAAGGAGAGAATCTTTGTCGTATTTTCTCCATTTATATTCATTGTGACCAACTCTTGCATTTCGTTTATCAGAAATATTTTCTCATCAGCGGCCAGGTATGTTAATTCTCTAATAGAATGTCGATTAATTGAATAATTAATTTGTTGATCCAAATCCGAAATTTGCACCATATCCGTAGTTACAATTAATAATTGAAGCAAGGGATTTTCATTTTCAGTCGATATGCTTATTACATCCGTATTCGGTCCAACGCCAACTTCCGTATAGGCCTCCACTTGGAAATAATAAGTCATTTTTGGTAAAACATTATGCAATCTGTATTCAAGTGTTGAAGCTGGAATATTAATTGAATCGCAAAGAAGAATTTCGGCCTCATTCATAATATACCAACATTTGACGATGAAACCCAAAATAACTCCGTTTGAAAATTGTGGCGAATCCCACCTGAAAAAAATACAATTTGTATTGGTAATTCGAAAAAAAACTTCAAATTTGATATTTTGAATTTTGATTTCATGTAATTTAATGTAATTTTTATTTCAATTTACCTGAAGATGACGTCAATTTCCTTCACATTATTCAAATGACCAGATTGAAATTCTACAAAACCTCTTGAATTGAGTGGCTGACTTGGAGTACTCTGGGGTGATCTCAACGTTTTTCTGGTGTAACGAGCACTTTCCCAGTAGGTGAATACTTTTATCTTGATATCCATTAAGCTGTACGGTTGAATATTTGGTAAATTATTGTAAGCAATCGATGATTCCGTTGTTATCTCTACAATCGAATTTTTGCCCACATCGACAAATTTTACTTTATAAAAGACAATTCCATAATTTGTATTATTAACAGGATCCCAGGATATGTTGAAATTTGTCCAATTGCCCTCGATTTTTATGCTCCGATAATTAACCGAATTCGGCAAGACTGTTATATTTTCGGAATCCAAAAACTTTGGGAACTGATGAAGAAGTGGATTTAAGATTGAAGTCATATGAAGACCAGATAATGTTATTCCATTGATTACTGCCGTATTTTGTCCTTTCATATCTCCGATTATTGCATTTCTATCGTCTTGAAGCCATAATAAATGTTGAGAGAAGTAACATAGAGGACCTTGGATATTTGTGTACTCCAGAATCGAAATCTAAAATTTAGTAAATTCTTTAATTCAAATTCTTTAACTTAGATTTTTTGATTGAAATTCTTTAATTTAATAATTAAATTAAAGAATTATTCTTAGATTTGGATACGAACCTTTTCTGGTACAATTTTCTGGTTCATGGGCAACTTTTCAGAAGTGGGAGCTCGATACAAAATTGATACATTTTCATAGCTTCTGATAATCCAATAGAGAAATCGATTCTCCAAGTCTAAGGACAAGCCTGTGACTTGTTTGTCACTGAATATTTCATCCGAATAGTAATATCTTCTTTCTTGGCCATTCAATCTGGCGACTTGGATGGTAAAGTCAGTCGACCAGTATAAATAAGCTTCTAAGGAATCTATTACTAATTCTTTGACATTGGCCAGAATGGATATAGGTTCTTGATCAGATCCATTCATATTTGACCTCATTATCTAAAATTAGATTTTTATTTATTTATTAATCAATTGTTTCCCTTGCAATGAAGAAATAGAATTTTGTCTCGTTAAGAAAAAAAATAAAGATAGAGAAAAAAGCTGAAGGAAAATTGAATTATTCGTAATCTTACAATTTGTTGCTTGGGATTTGTCCAATAGAGTTTTTTCGATATCCAATCAACTGCAATACAACTGACGGAATTAATATTCAACGATGATTTCTGACGACTAGTCATGTTGTATTGATAAAGAAGAGAATTATTTCCCACAAAGTACAATAAATCTTTGTACCAACTCACATCCAAAATGTAATATTCAATTCCTTCTTCTGTTAAATTTGTATCGTGAATCAAAATATCTAAATTCTCTCCAGTTATATCGCTTATTAAAAATCCTTCATTTGTGGACCACAAGATTGAGGCTTGGAATTCATCCCTGGAAAGATAGTGAAAAATTAGCACAAACAAAATTTCATCTATAGAATTTATTTTTAAGAATTATTATCAAAAATTTTTTTAATTTAACTTAGAATTTTAATTTTTAAGTTGAGTTGCACAAAGAAAAGGATAGATTGTCAGCTAAGAAAATCTAATAAAAAAGCATGGATATAATTTAGATAATACAAATTTCTGGATTGGTACATATTTGTTAAAAATGAGCTAATTTACTTGTATAAATAGATTATTATTCATTTTAAAACTTAACTATGAAATGTCATAAGTCACTATATTTTATTATTACATTTTTCTAAAAAGTTTATATATATTAAAAATTTATTACTACTTAATGTAAAGTATACTTTCAATGTACTTTCATATTATGTGCTAACTTTTTAATTTTATAATATAGAAATATGAAAAATTTTACCTTCAATATTGAGTTTCATATGATTTTCAGTGATTTTAAGCACTTATTTCTTTTTAGGTGCAAGACGAAAAAATCCAATTTTGGTCTTAATATTTAAGTTTGAACGTCTTTTCCATTCTATTAAATTTTGGTGATGGAGAACGAGCTACTTTGTAGTTTTATTAATGTTTAAAAAATCTGCTTACAAAAGCGAGTTTGTTGGTTAAAATTCAAGTAATTTTATAACACTGAAGTTGGCTTGTCTCAATAAGTCTTGCAAAAATCTACTTGCATTTTAACCAATAAATTCGTTTTTGTAGCTGATTTTTTAAAGTAAATTTATAGTAAAAAGTAGCTCGTTCTCCATCGCAAAAATTTAACAGTATGTAAAACAAAGTCAAATTTAAATATTAAGACCAAAATTGGATTTTTTCGTCTTGCACCTGAGAAGAAATAAGTGGTTAAAATCACAGATTAGTAGAATAGGCGTAGCGCTTTTGAGACTAAGGAGAGCAGAAAGGCACGAAAAGAGGAGTTTATTAGCCTTATATGCTACTTATGAAGCATATGAAGGGATATGTATAGTGCTGGAATAGCTGATTAAAATGTAAGCACTTTAAATAATTTTTTGGTATAAATTTCAATTTTTTGATATATATACTTTTTTTTCAAACGCGTTTTTCTCAAAACAGGATTTTTGAAATTGCCGTGCAATGTAGCTTAAAAAGTTATTGACCGATTTCAAAACGAAAAATTGGAAATTGTTCGTTATTAAATTTATTATTAAGTGAACTAAACTTGAAAAGAAAAAAAAGTTTTAGGTACCTTTTTTTAAATAAAAAAGTTGCAAAAAAGTAGGCAAAAAAATCGAAGATTTTTTTAAAAGTAGTGTCAATTTTTCAATTTTCAATATTTTCACTTAAAAGTTAGTTCACTTAATAATAAAATATTTATAAAATGTGAATAAACTTGTTTTTTGCTTTCGGGCAAAATTTGTGGGCTCAGGACTGCACGGCAGTCATGAACTCCGGCGGAGCGCTCTATATGCAATAGCTCCCAATTTGGAAGATGTTTTATATAAACGCTTAAAAAAATATGAGTTACAGTTAAATATATGAACAACATGATGGAAATATTTTATTTAATTAAAAAAAAATTCGCGAAAAACAGCTAAAAAACAGCGTTCTAATGTGGTTTCCCCCCTTAATCAATATTTCACATTATTTTTATTGTTTAAAATTAATATTTCATCTTATTTTAATGTTTTATTTTAAATTTAGAAATGTGTAATTTGTTTTGCTCATCTCGACCTTAAGGTTTGTCCTTTAAATTCCTTGGACCATGGACTCTTCCCAGCAATCGAGTAGGCAGCAGCCTTGATCGAATAATTGGACTTCTCTTTTAAATTGAAGATTGATTGTGTCAAATCAGAAATTCCTATTTGATGAATAGTTTCCCCGGAGAAATCGTCTTTAATTTCCAATTCGTACATCCAATTTTGCCAAGCCCCTCGTCCTTGTTCTGCAAGCAAATAAGGCGCCTGCCAAGATATTTTTGCCCTCTCCGAACCCAAAATTGCTTGAACATTCGTCGGAGGATTCACCGGAACAGGAATCGGTTGACTCGTACTCATTAACGCATGAACACTTAGATACATTTCTGAAAACTTAATATATCTGAAAGTAAGAATCGTTAGACTTTTATTATCTGCGTATAGAATTTTTTATCAAATTTTTTAACATTTTTTTTTCATTTTAGTTAAATTTTTCTTTGATTTAATTTTAATTTTTAAATTCAATTAATTAATTCAGTTTTTTTTACCTGGGAAAAACATTGTGAAAGTATTTGTCCTGTCCAGAGTGGTAGCCTTCAGTTAAAACTTGATATCCGTTCGTCCAGTAAAATAGATTATTAATCACAGTCAAGGACGAGACATTTTTAAATTTTGCTTGTTGTGTATTTGCTCTGAGATCGATGACTTCCTTTCCATCCAAAGAGACAGATTTCACTGTATTTTCAGAATGATAAGAAACAAGGAGGCGGAAATTTATATGGTCAACAATGAAGGCTCCTAAATTTGAATGTTCGAGAATCAGGAATGGTTGAACCTGATTCCAAATAGAATCATGAATAATAAATTGACTGATTAATTAAAATTAACTAACAATAAGAATAAATTAACTAATAATTTTTTCATTTATTCATAAATTCTTTAAAATCTTCAAGACAAAAATTACCTTTCTATTGCCACTATTATCAATATCGGCCAAATCGAGTCTATAAAAACCTCGACGAGTGATCCAGAATAAATATCCATTGTAAGGATCAACTTCAACGTGAGATGGTTTCGTGAGGAAATTCGGCACAACAACAGTCAGATCATTGCCAACAAAATCACATCTTGCTATTTGCCATAGAGACATATTTTTCATTTGTCCGACAATGTAGAGCCGCAAATTGAGCCAATCAACAGACATGCTTAACGGTTTGAAATTAATTTCATCTGAATTTAGTAAAATTGTCGATTTTGAAATGTCAGAAATTGTTTTTCGATATATAAAGCCCATTGAATCGGAGATGAAGATTTGCTCCAAAACGACGTGAATTGCAATTCCTTGAATAATTGAACTGGTTTCATAAATTATACTCGGTTCGTCAAAAATATCGGATCCTTGTTTCATTATTGAATGCTGACTTCCGAGAATAAGGAGAGGTTTCTCTGTGTCCTTAACTGAAAATTGGAAATTTTTTTGAAATTTTCAAAATATTCTTCCAAAAACACAGTTATGTAAAAATAAAATTAAGAAAAATTTCTTTTGCTTTCAAATAAGTGATTAATTAATTACCAACGGACTCTGATGATGTGGAGACGTGAATAATTGCAGAAGGACCATCGCCTTCGGCATTTCTCATTGAAACACTCACTGAATAATTTCTGCTCGGTTCCAAATTCCGAAATACGTAATAATTCAAAATTTCCGTAGCTGGTACTTCCTGAAATGAAAATACATTTTTAGTAAAATTCTACTTGGAAAGTATTTAGTAGAAATAAGAAGAAATTAATTAGTTAAAAAGAACCTTTGACTGCAATTCTGAATCTTCATAAAGTTTCAAAACGTATGATAAAAGTGGTCCATTGGAGAATGGACCAGCTTCCCAGGAAATAGAAATCCGATGGCTGTCAATAGCATTGGCTCTTAAAATTCTAGGAGCAGAAATTGGAACTCCAGCAGGTTTTGTTGATATCACAATGCTTGGAGTGGAGACAATCATTTCAGCATTATGCTCAATTGATCTCAATAGCAGAGCGATTCGAAACTGAAATTAAAAACTAATTAAATTAAAAGATATTCTAATTGTTCATAAAATTAATGATCCACAGGATTTTAACTTTTAAATTAACGAATTTAAAAAAAAAATATTTCCATAAATTACTAACTGGAATAAAAATTAAAAATTTACATTTACATTAAATTTACATTTAGAAACTTTATAAATAATTTCTTTTACACGTGAGGCAAAATTATGTATTGTAATAAAATTTTAATCTGAAGAAGAAACATTAAAATTACCATAATTAATTTAAATTAATCGGAAATTTGTATGAAAATATTTCCTTCGTTTGAATTTTTAAAAATTTTGGATCACGCTATGAAGATGATTATTTAATTAAAAAATTGAAAATTAGAGTAAAATTTGAATTAACTTACTCTATATTTTGTGTACGATTGTAAATTGTAAACAAGAATTTGATCATCCCTCCAGGATTGATTTCTACAAAACTGCCAAGTTTCTGCCAAATCCTGATATTTCCACTGAACAAAGTAGGATATCCCACTGCCAATTCTCTTGATCTCATTTCCATTCCATTCAAGTCTGAGCGATGTGGCAGTCAATGAATCTCCAACGAGAGTTGGCGCAGATAATACTCCAATCCTGGCTAAAAATTAAAATCATTTTAAAAATTAAAATCAAATTTGAAAATTAAAATCAATTTCAAAATGAAAAAATTTATTCTAAAATTTAATTATTTAAACTAACATTAATAATTAGGTATTTTATGGAAATAAGAAAAAAAGAAGATATGGTTTTAAAATTCATTGTGATTGAAAATTTTGTAGAAGAAAAATTTGAAGAAGAATTCAAAGTTTTTAAATTTTTCAAAAATTTTTAAACATCAAAAACCTGAATTTTTGCATTAATTCTAGAAATTAATTTATTTTTCAATTTTTATACTAAAATACTTTGAAAAATCGATTTTTTTCAAATTTCTAATGACATTCTTTAACAAATTTAATTAATTTTTTTTAAGAAGTATTTTTTAAAATTCAAATAACTTTAAAACATTGAATTACAACTAATTTTCTCTGATTTAAAAAAAATTATTAAAAAATTGAATATAATTTAAATATTTCAAAATTTTTTTTTAAAACCTTCTTAAGTTCAATTAATTCTGAAAATTACAACTGTCTTCATCTCAAAGTCTTTTATTTTAATTATTAACATAAAAAATAATTATTAACAAAAATTTTATTTTAAAAACTTCTTAAATTCAATTAATTCTGAAGATACGTAACTGTCTTCATAACAAATCATTTAATTTTAATTATTAACACGAAGAAATTTATTCTAAACTTTATTTATCGAAATAAAAAAAAACTTATTTTTTAAAATTTATTGTGATTCAAATTTTTTAAAGTAGGAAAAATTTTAATGATAATTCAAGTTTTTTAATTAAATTTTTCAATAATATTTTTTAAACAGCAAAAATAAAAAGTTTTTTATTAATTCTAGAAATTAATCTATTTTTCAATTTTTAAATTAAAATACTTTGAAAAATTGATTTTTTCCAAATTTAATTTTATTTTTTAATAAAGCGTTTTTTAAAATTCAAGTAACTTTATAATATTAAATTACAACTAATTTTTTCCGGATTTAAATATAAAAATTATTAAAAAATTAAATATAATTTAAATATTTCAAAATTTTTGTTTTAAAACCTTCTTAAATTCAATTAATTCTAAAAATTACAACTTTCTTCATCTCAGAACTTTTAATTTGAATTATGAACATGAACATAAAAAATAATTATTAAAAATTTTATTTTAAAAACTTCTTAAATTCAATTAATTCTGAAATTACAACACTGTCTTCATGTTAAATCATATAATTTTAATTATGAACACAAAGAAATGTATTTTAAACTTTATTTATTTTTATTTATTTTATTATATTACAAAAAAAATATAGATATGGGGCATTCCAGGCCAAGTCGGAAATCATTTTGCTTTTGCATCTCAAATTTTTTTTAAATATTTTTTTTCTTTTAGCTTTTAGTACTCTTTGAAATGAGCTACCTTCATTTTTTTCAAAATTTTTTCATAAAGCGGTTCAGGAGATACAGATTTTTGAAAAATGATGTTTTTTATACGTAAATTTTTTTTAAATGCTTATAACTCTGTCAAAAATTGATGAAATTAAACGTTTTTATAATGAAAAGTTTTGTTTTCACGCGTAGTTTTTAATAAAAAGTATTTTCAAAAAATTTTAAAATAATTTACGATAAGATTTTAAAATTTTTAAAATAAAATTTCATTTTTAACAATGTATGTATCGATCAATTTCTTTCAAAATTTTTTGTAAGAAACTAGCATTAAATTAACAATTTTTAAGCCTTGTCCGATCGTGGACAAACGATGGGATCTATTTACTTTAAAATTTTTAATTTTTTAATACGCAGTGAAAACGGTAGGCCTAACTTGCCATTTGACCAAATCACAATTTTACACAGAAAGAAGGTTAATTTTGGAGAGACTCAGTCTAAAAACACATTTGCTGTGAAAAATTTGTGTGATTTTGTCAAATGGCAAGTTAGGCATTTGGCCACCACTGTGTACCTATATAAAAATTAAAAATTTCAAAATAAATAGATCCCATCGTTTGCCCACAATCGGACAAGGCTTAAAAATTGTTAATTTAGTGCTAGTTTCTTACAAAAAATTTTGAAAAAAATTGATTGATACTTACATTGTTAAAAATGAAATTTTATTTAAAAAATTTTAAAATCTTATCGTAAATTATTTAAAAATTTTTTGAAAATACTTTTTATTAAAAGCTACGCGTGAAAACAAAACTTCTCATTATAAAAACGTCTAATTTGATCAATTTTTGACCGAGTTATAAGCATTAAAAAAAATTTACGTAAAAGACGTCATTTTTTAAAAATCTGTATCTCCTGAACCGCTTTGTGAAAAAATTTGAAAAAATCAAAGTAGGAGCTCATTTCAAAGAGTACTAAAAGAAAAAAAATGTTTAAAAAAAATTTGAGATGCAAAAGCAAAATGATTTCCGACTTGGCGTGGAATGCCCCATATATAAAAATCATGATTAGAGAAAACATAATTTAAAAAAACGAAACAATGACGAATCGCTCTGAAGTGTTTTGAAAATAAAGAGAATCAGTCAAAAAACGAGTCGTCGATTAAAGAACAAAAACAATTAAAGAAACAAACCAATAAAAATAATATAATGAATGATGAAACAAGGGAGCATGGCTTCAAAGAATACAAATCAATTTTGGACAGTTTGAAGAATTCTTTTGAAAATAAATGGAAAGTGGATTCCACGTCATCAAAAAACGAACCAACAGAATCTTCATTAAACGATTTTGAACGAATCAGAACTCTTGGCACTGGAGCTTTTGGCCGTGTAATGTTAGTCAAGCAAAAACAATCATCACGTTATTACGCAATGAAAATTTTAGAAAAATCCAAAATCATCGAACTCAGTCAAGTAACTCACACATACAACGAAAAAAGAATTCTCCAATGTCTCAAATTTCCCTTCGTCATTTACATGGAATATTTTTTCAAAGACAATTCATACATTTACATGATCCTTCCGTTTGTGAGTGGCGGTGAAATGTTCAATTATTTGAAGCAAATGGGAAAATTCGATGAGAATACTGCAAAATTTTACGCCGCTCAGGTAACATTAGCTTTAGAATATTTGCACTTTTGCGATGTCGTTTATCGTGATTTAAAACCCGAAAATATTCTAATCGAAAGAAATGGATATTTGAAATTAACAGATTTTGGTTTCGCAAAAATAATTGAGGGAAGAACGTGGACATTGTGCGGAACACCAGAATATTTGGCACCGGAAATTATTCTCTCCAAAGGTTATGGAAAAGCTGTTGACTGGTGGAGTTTTGGTGTTTTACTCTATGAGATGAATATTGGCTATTCACCGTTTTATTCATCGAGACCAATGAAAATTTACGAGAAAATTGTCATTGGAAAGTATAAAGTTCCAACTATATTCAGCAACGATTTAAAGGATCTTTTAAAGAATATTTTACAAGTTGATTTAACGAGACGATATGGGAATTTGAGGAATGGTTCGATGGATATTAAAAGACACTCTTGGTTTAAATCAATCAATTGGATTCAAATTTACAATCAGGATGTTCAGGCTCCTTACAAGCCAGTTTGCAGTCATTTGGGCGATTCCAGTAATTTTGAGCACTATCAGGAAGAATCTCTCAAGATTGAAAGTGTTGATCGTTTTCCTCAAGAATTTGCCAATTTTTGAAAATTAATTTAGAAAAATTCATTTGGAAAATTTATTTGAAAAATTTATTTACCACTAAAAAGAAAAATTAACTTACCTTTCAATTGATGATAATATCGATTTAGGGCTTCGTTGCATCCTGCAATGCAGAAAAGTTCTTTGGGCGATAGCAATTCCTGGGTTCCATTCTTAAATAAAAATAGATAATAATAGAAATCATAGAAATAGATCAAAAATAAAAATGTATTTAGAATTTAATTTTAAGAAACTTTTTTGTTATAAATAAAAGATTTATAGTTCCTACTATATTTAATATTAATTATGATCCTAAGATTCTGAATGTTCAATGTGAACGGAAATTTATTTCTTCTTCAAAATAAATTTTTATTGCTGCCAGTAATGAAAATAATTGGAAAACATCAATAAATTTTTTTTTAATAAATATTAAATCATTATTATTATTCCATAGGAATTAAGATTTTTTTTTAAATTCCAAATTCAAACCTTTATGAAATTCCATAAAATTTTTCAAAAAAATAAATAAATTATTTAAAAAATTTTAATAAAATCCTTCGTAAGAATTAAATTATTTTCATAAATAATAAAATAATTGTTCATAAGATTTCAATTATTTTTAATACAATTTTAAATAAATTCCTCGAAAAATGTAAGTAATTATTTTCAAAAGTTTTTGCAAGAATTCAATTACATTTCACAAATAATGAAATTCAAATATTTTCAAAATCTACTCCTTCAATAAAATTTCTCAAAAAAATTCAATTATTTAAAAAAAATGTTATAAAATTCGTTGCAGGAATTCAATTATTTTCATAAATAATACCTACAATTCTTCTCAGAATTACAATTATTTTTAATACAATTTTTAAGTTAAATTCTTCAAAAAATGTAATTATATTTTCAAAAATATCATTAAAATTATTCGAAAAGAATTCAATTATCAATTATTTTTCATACTTTTTGCAAAAGTTCCTTGAGAATTTTCAAATCCATTTGTTTACAATTTAATTTTACGAAATTTCGATAATTCAGAAATTCTTTGATTAAATATTTTGAAAATAACTTGAAATAATTTTTGAAAAAATTCAATTAAACTTTTTCAAAAAAAATTAATATTCTGCAAAATTGTCAGTTAAAAGTATGAAAAACTCAAAATTTTCAAAGATTTTAATTTAAAACCTTTTCAAAATCCAATTATTTTTGAAAATTCATGCTGTAATGCTTTTAATATTCAATTATAATCTAAAATTTTAACTGAAATTCATTTTTAAATCAATTTTTATTAGAAAATTTTACGAGAATTCAATTATTTAAATACAAAAATAAATAATTTACTGAATAAATGAATGTTTTTTTAATTCTCATAAAGAAATTTTATCAACAAATTTTTTAATAATTGGATTTTTTCGACCAATTTTAATAAAATTTTCAAGAATATTTAAATTTTTTGAGGAATTCAATTAAAATTTTATTAAAAATAGTTGAAATCCTGATTTCCCTCATCTCCCAGTAAGAAGCGAGGAATTGAAAAGGATTGAAATAATTCAAACTCTGTATGGTGTAGTAGAAATTATCCAATACTTTTGAATGCCATTTCTGTCCAATACTTTTCTATACCATGATATAGGACCACGTTTCGTCTAAAAATGAATGCAATTCAATTCTGTTTGTAATTGTTAACAAAGACAAAATTTTTTTCTGAATGCTTTCCAATCCCATCCGAAATTATTACAGCCTGTCATTACATCACTTTTCAATTTTTCATTGGAACCGCGTTTCTATGCATGCATTCAAGCGCAATCTTCTGGATTTTTGTAATTTATAAGATACATACATTGGCAGATTTTGTAAAAAGTGTTTGTGTTCAAAGAAAAACTTGCTGAAAAATTGATTGTTTACCAATTTTACGTCATTTAAACGAGTCAGGGCCGTTATTCTATAAGACAATAAATCATAACCTAAAAATTTCAGAGACCTTTAAACACTTTTAACCCTCTTAACTGATAAATTAATAATTATTCCTTTTTAAAATAGCAAATAAAGTCATGAGTGCAGTTATTTGAAAGTAATTGAACATTCTATGCAATGTCAACAATATTAGTATTATATTATTATACTATATTTGTATGAGTATTTGAAAGGATTGAAATTGTAAAGTTTTCAACTACTGTCGCGGAATTTAGAAGCATAGGACAGAAATGGTATTCAAAAGGATAGAATTTTTTTAATGCTTCTTTGCTTTCTTAAGGGCATTTGAACCTTGATGACGTTACAGATTGTGCAAAGCATGTGTGACGTCATCAAGGTTCAAATGCCCTTAATGGGTATTCAAGAGGATTGATATCGTTACTTTTCATATTGCTCTCACTGGATAGAAAAGTATTGGACAGAAATGGCATTCAAAAGAATAGAATCTTTTTAATACTTTTCAATTTCTCGTTTCTTACTGGGCTGTGGCAACCCTGGACAAAAAACGAATCAAAAGTTTTCAACTTTTGGTTCGTTTTTTTATCAATTTGATATCCTTAGAAAAACTGTGCAAGTAAGTTAATTAGTATTGAAATAAATAAATTAATTAATATTGAAGTAAATTAATGTATTAATATTGAAGTAAATTAATTAATTAATTTTGAAGTAAATTAATTGATATAAAGCATATATATTATAAAATTTTATAAAAAATTATTACTAATTTAAAAAAGAACTTACACAAATGGATTTACAATCTGCATCGAGGGCTTGATGCCAAGAATTACAACCTTTAGTCCACTGAAAAACAGATTTTTAGTATTTTTCATTTAACAAATATTAAAAAAAAGAAATACTTTAAGCGTAAGGAAAAATGCTTTTGTTAGAAAATAATTTTTCGCCTGCAATAGAGTTTGTAATTTATAAAATAAAATCGTAATTTTTCGTGTCATCACTTTGCCATGTGCTTCTAACAATTATAACATCCAGGTTGACAGTATTATCTCTATTATTGCATATATTTGCTAGTGTCTTCAACACCATTGAATTTATAAAGATGCAAAAAAAATGCATTTCTTTTCGCTGAGCAAGATGAAAATTTCCAATTGACTAAATAAAATTGTTTTCCTCAATAAATTTAATCAACAAATTATTTCTTTCCATACAAGAAACAACCGGAAAAATGTTTGATAATTTTTTTTTTTTAAACAAATTTTCTGAATGAGAATTGAAAAGAAATATAAGTGATCAAGTACAGTGAAGTGATTCACTACTCAATTTCAATCAATCACTTGATCCAAAAGATACTTCTTGGCACGGGCGATACTCGAGGCGCCGCACGCAAATTAGACTAAAATAATAATAAGCAAATTCGATCGTACATGAGCTTAATGCAATAAAGGATTCATTGATAGATTTGTAATTTTCTAATTTATTTACAAATCTATTTAAAATATTATCTTTCAAAGAATTTTAATTAACTTAAATAAAAATTATTTGATTCAAGTAAAAATTTATTTGATAATAGACAACTAATTGGTTATTTGAATCAAATAATTTTTTTGTATTGTATAAAAAGGTTTCTTTTCTTAAATCGTTCTGTAAACTCGTTCTGAAATAATTCTTTGTAAACTTTGGAGAGAAGATGGAAAATAATTGCAATTAGATTACAAAACTTTAAAATATAGAATCGACAAGGAGGATAATAATTTTCTTTAATTTTACTTCTCTATTAAAAGAGAGATAAACTACTGTGAGGATTAAAATCAAGATTCTAATTTGTTTGGACATGGTTGAAATTTATTATAAAAATTGTTGGAGCCGTCGCAAATAATGAAAAAGACTACACTAAAAGCGGAGACTCGGCTAATTTTTCTCTTCCTCATTAAACCCTCAACATTAAATGTTTGAGGCAGAGGCTCTCGACTCCCCGTAGATTGTAGAATATTTTTCATCCTGCCTAATTGGTTCCACTCTTTTGCTCTCATCCTATAGGTTTTTGCACAAACCCCTTTTTCTAAATTGCATTTAGGGTTGAAAACAGGAAGTTGCAAATTTTTTACTTTGCACTTTCCGTCTCTCTATCTCTTCCTCTATTTTTCTCTCTTTCCCTTTCTCAATTTTTCTCCTTTCTTTATTTTTCTTTTTTTCTCTTCTTCAAGAAAGAGAGAAAAATATTTCTCTCTTACTGTTTTTCGAGAAAGAGGGAAAAATATTTTTCTCTTTATGTTTTTCGAGAAAGACACAAAAATATTTCTCTTTCTGTTTTTCGAGAAAGAGACAAAAATATTTCTCTCTTTCTGTTTTTCGAAAAAGAAACAAAAAAATATTAGAAAATGGAAATTTTGAATATTAATTCAAGTGCGGCTGTTTTTTCAGACTCTATTAGATACACTTTCACTTTAGATTTTTGCATTAATTATATCAGGGGTCACACGACAATTTGGCGACACTGGTCGCGCACTTGTACGCAATTCAATTTAAAACGTGCGTCATTCACTGTTCATTCTTTTATTCATTCATTGTGTCCATGAGCCACAAAAAAAAATTTTTTTTTCTTCATCGTCCCTTGTGTAACATTTATGTTACGCCATGGGTCCCGAGACGACCGGAAGTTACTTTATATTGTACGAAAGGGTCCGAAAAATGGACAGAAAGAACCTTTCACACAAAAGTTGTTTTCAATTTTGTTCTCGAAAAAAAATTGTTATTTTTTAAAAATTCCGACTCAAGGCTCGAATTAGAGAAATGAAAGAACATTTTACTTAAAACTATAAATTAAATTTTAGTATTCTTTTTTAAATAGAATTTATTTTAAATCGATTACTTTTAATAATTTTCGATGTTAGAGTCGAATTTGAAAAATTAAATTGATTAATTTAATAATATCAATTTTTAAATAAACTTTAACTTAACGTGTCCTTCGGACAAAGAAATTGTAAAGGTAGTGGATTCCCCCTCTACTTAGTTATTGTTTCAACTAAGAGGTTGAGAACCCTACTCCTTGAATTTAGAGAAGATAGGATAGTTTTAGGAATAATTAAATTATAAGCAAAAATAAGATTAAACAAATAAGATATATTTTACCCAAAGAAATCCCTAATACAAGTAACTCTAAATTGGTGTGAGTAAAGAGTAATTCTATACTTGTGTATGAAAGAATAGTATGTGTGTGTGTAGTGATGAGTAAGATTTCTATACTCACTGTCTGGTAATTCAATCCTTTGAAATGTTATTCCAATGACTTATTCTGTTCTTTTAGTATTACAGAATTTAGGTTGTTTATTTAAAAAAACGAGGAAATACCTGATCTAGGTTCACTAGATTGATATTTCGTTTTCCAATTTAATATTCCTTGGCTCGCGCAAATTTGAAGACTCAAACCCCGTAATTAAAGGTCGTCTTTAAAAGTATTTCAAAAATCAATATTCTTTTTTAAGATATGCTTGGTTTATTTCTGCTGATGCTAGATTTTTAAATACACTCTTTTAATTCTTTACGTTTATGCTTTTTTTTTAAATTCGCTTTATTTTATTAATACTATTTCAATTCTTTCTTTTAATCTTTAGCTCTTTTACAAATTCTTTATTTTTATTTCTTTTTCACTTTATTTTCAATATCTTTTAATTCTTTACTTTTTTAAATTATTTTTCACTTGTCACTTTATTGTATTCTTTATTTCGATATATTCTTTTAAAAATCAACCTTTGTTTACTCTTTATTTATTTTCTTTTATTCTCAATTAAATTCACTTTCTTTAAACAAACTTTTATTCAACTGTTAGACTTTCAATACGATTAACACGGCTAATTGCCAGGCCTAAACTGCCGGCTACAACTACAGGTAACTACGACCTGGACTAAACTGCGGGCCCAAACTGCCTGGGCTAACTGCCGGCTACAACGCCTGGCTTAAACTGCCCAGATTTCCCAGTGTCAATCAATGTTATTGAAAGACAATTTAGTGGGGAAATCGTATGTTAAGTTCATTGTACTTGACTGTTGTCAAGTCAATTTCTGCAACCTTGCAGATTTAAGCAGTGGTGTGATCCGAGTTCAGTGACTTGGATGCACCACTCCTTATATTGAGCAATTTAACTTTGATATTTTCTAACTAATTTTCAAAAGGGTCAATAAACTGTTTTTCAAGAAAAAGGAATTCATTAAGAAACACTTTACTATATTGTCAGGTTTTTCACCTCGAAATTGCGAAACCTAAAGGAATGTTAAATTCAATTAAATCTTATATTTATATAGAATTAGAATTTCTATGTCATTAAAAGGCCCTGGATTAAAATATTCAAAAGAGGGAATGTCCTTTTGTGAGATTACATAGGGTTATTTTGTGTAAGCGTTTTATTACGTGTTAACAAAATATTGTGTTGTGTGTAATTTGGTTTTTAAAGTATTATAAATAATCATTTATAATATAAAAGTTACGGAGTTCGGCCGTAACATTCGAAAACGTTCTTTGAAAATTTTCAAATCCATTTGTTTACAATATTCAATTTTACGAAATTTCAATTATTTGTAAATTCTTCAATTAAATATATATATTAAAAAATACAAACTTAAAATAATACAAAAAAAAATTCAATTAAATTATTTCAAAATTCAATTATTTCTGAAAACATAATATTATAATATTAAATTATAATCTAAAATTGTAACTGTACCTAATCCATTCTTTGATCAATTTTTATTAGAAAATTCTACTGGAATTCAATTATTTAAATACAAAAATGAATAATTTATTGAATAATTGAATGTTTCTTAAAATTCAATTCCCATGAAGAATTTTATCAACAAATTTTTAAATAGTTGAATTCATTCGACGAATTTTAATAAAATTTGTAAAAATAATTACATTTTTCGAGAAATTTGATTAAAATAATTGTATTAAAAATAATTGAAATTCTGCGATGAGTTTTATTATTTGTAAAAATAATTGAACCCCTAAGAAGAATTTTATTATTTTTGAACAATATTTAATTTTTGCTAAGAATATTATTGCTTTTGAAAATAATTGAATTTTTGTAATAATTTGTAACTTTTTCAAAATTAAATTTTTTTTCGTGTTTTTAACTAAAATTCTTCTATAAATGTATTATTTTTAATAATTTTTGAAAAAGTTCTGTGACAAAAAAATTATTTCTAAAAATTCACGCTCTAATGTTTTTAATATTTAATTATAATCAAAAATTTTAACTGAAATTCATTTTTAAATGAATTTTTATTAGAAAATTCTACGAGTATTCAATTATTTAAATACACAAAAATAAATAATTTACTGAATAATTAAATGTTTCTTAAAATTAAATTCTGATAAAGAATTTTATCAATAAATGTGACGCGCTCCCAAGAAAGGTACCTAAGAAGCAAATGAATTCTAGGGTAGGTTCGTGTTACATTTATCTTGATTAAAAGTTTATTTCTAATTATTTGAATTTGAAACCAATTTTCGTAGGATATTTATTGGATATAATAAAGACTTGAAGATCAATAATTTTTAATTAATAATTGATTTTCTTTCTGTATCTCTTCGGAGCGCGACACAAATTTTTAAATAATTGAATTCTTTCTACGAATTTTAATAAAATTTTTAAGAATAATTACATTTTTCGAGAAATTTGATTAAAATTGTATTAAAAATAATTGAAATTCTGCAATGAGTTTTATTATTTATGAAAATAATTTAATTCCTAAAAAGAATTTTACAATTTTTACAAAATTTTTGAAAATAATTGAATTTTTTGAAGAATTTCATTAAACGTAAAAATAAAGAAATTTTTTTAAATAATT